CAACTTTGTGGTTTCCATGCGAAGCCAAGAAACAACCAAGTGTGGAGATGGTCCTTTGCCAAGCTTCCGCAAGTGCGCAGGCATGAAGCTTGCGCTCGAGAGTTGGGAGCTGCACCCTGTAAGATGACCTGCGAAAGATGTGTGGCACTCCAGGTCTTTGCCATGACGTGGCAAGCTACCGACAGTTTTGCTAGGCATGGACATAGTTTTGTTCGGGGAAGTCATAGACCGTGTGCCACACGTGTGAGTTGCCCGTGTTTCACTGACATTGCGACATTGGTATGCCAGAAATGTACCTAGGTGGTCCGGGACATCATCACTTCAGCACCTGTGTGTGTGTGTGATGAACGGTTGGCCTACAGTAAGCGTTTTCAATCAGGTACGCGTAAGGCTTTGTAGACTTGCACCGTTTGCTTCTACGGTACTGCCATCATTTGAATCTCTCAGATGCCACACAGGCCACCTGCGCAATGTTCAATGTTCTCTCCAATTGTTGCTCTCCTCACAGGACCTGTGTTTTTTTGAGCTGGGATTGGTTTGGTCACTTGGTTGCCTCACCTCTCCGGAGGGGGTCACCCGATTTGAAGCGATTCCGAGTCTAGGCAGCAGCTCCTGGAGAAGGCAGAGAAGGAGATGCAGTCGGAGTTTGCCAAGCTGGAGGAGTCTTTGCACCGGACGGTATTGCAAGCAAGAATGACTGGGTGATCCAGTAGTATATATATATATGCAACCCCCCCCCCATGGACCCTGGTTTTACTGCCTTTTGGGGATGGCAAATCTAGAATTTCCAAATTTATATTCTCGAAATTTCCAATTGTGGGTCCCCAAAGCGTGATAATTTGGAGCCCGGAGTCCTCCACAATGTCCCAGTATGATACCCTTTGCACATAAGATGTTACTTCAACTAGAATTGGAATTTTGAATATAGTTTAGTATGGATATAGTTTTCAAAAATGTGTTTATGTTCAATTACAGCTTAAACAAGCAAATCCTTTCCAAATAGCAGCTACATGAAAATGTAAATATATATTTTCGGCTAAACTCCAACTAATCTATAACACAAGAAGTTAGATGGAAGTTTTTCCCAAATATAATCCAAGTGGTAAGTATAATCTAAGACGAACACAACTCAATTTGCTTTTGATAATATCAAGTGAATAGAGACTACATCTCAAATATAATTCATATTAAATATGGCTAAACATTTGGAAATTAAAAATAGGATTTGTGTTGTTTACATTCTGGCCCTTTTGTAGCATAAGAAAGGTCCGACATTGAACTTGTTAGACGGTGTTCCAAAGGGAAATTTCAAGGGAAGAGAGGTTCAAAATCTAAAACTATCTCGAAACAGGGATTCTAGCTAAACCGTTGTATTTAAAGTTCTATTTGCGCAGGAAAGTTAATTCTTTTTCAAAAGGTGGAGGTAGTAGATGAGCAAATGTGGACAGGTAGTTGAAGAGGGTGGGGGACGGTGTGTGAACGTACATACATATGTATATCTATATATACACATACATACACACATATATAGTACCCCCAATGATCCTGCGCCTCCTCATAAAATGCTGGAACATGCAGTATTTTTGAGCGTTGCACCTGCCTTTTGTTTACCTCCTGGAAAGGAGTCAACATGAGCATAGCTGACATGAAGCTCACCAAAAGCACTTGAAAGTTTGTCTAACCAATAACTTGAAAGTGTGTCCACTGGATCGCTAAGCACTTGAAAATTTGCTACTATCGGATGGAAGATTCAATATTGAAGATTACACAGAACACTTTCCTGAGAATTGTAAATCCTGGCCAAACCCAAATAGCATTAAAGTTCTTCTAACACTTGAAAGTGCTTTACCACTGGATTGGGGATCAATATTGAGGAGCCCACAAACCACCACTTTCCTGAGAATCATCCATCCTGATCAACCCCTAAAATGTTCAAGTTGTTCTATCACCTCGAACATCCGTTACCACTGGATTGAACTATTTCACGGAAAACTGTTCCGAGAATCTTATTGAACACCGAGAGAATTGGGACAACCCTGGAATTTTTAAAACTTTTTAAAAATTATGGGATTCAAGATTCAAGATTCCCAGAAAATATGTTCTCAGATTCTTGAATCTTGAATCTTGAATCCATAATTTTTAATAATTTTTAAAAATTATGGGATTCAAGATTCAAGATTCAAGATTCCCAGAAAATATTTTCTCACATTCTTGAATCTTGAAACTTGAATCCCATAATTTTTAATATTTTTTAAAAATGTCTGAGTTGTTCTTGTATTCTTGGATGCATTCAAACTCTTTCAGATTGCAGGTGCTGATGTCACTGCTTTTGTCACATCTGTATGCATGCATGCGTATCATATACATGTACGACCCTCCCCCCAATTTTGACACAAATCCAAGAAGCAAAAAGAAGCATAAAACACTGGAAAATACAGGTCAACCGCACCAAACCAGGGTCCATAGGGGGGGGGTACCATATATATATATATATATATGTATATTGAGTCTACTAGGGAGTTTCCAAATGGCTGTCACTTGAGCCCTGTCAGCTCAAGCCCATTGGCATAATATACTAGTATCGGGGGGGAGTGTTCGCTACGAGCAGATGGTGTCGCAGAGCCAGCCAAGGACTTGGCAAGCAAGACCTGCTTGCAAGAGAACGCCGACCGTTTGGAGAGTCTTTTTGGGCAGCAGAGGAGAGGGCGTCTTGTGCGAGTGCGGGCACGGATCATGTCAGGCCAACATGCCTCCCCCCCAAATAAAAAAGCAAAACAAAAAGAAGCTCTGCACGAGGGGAATCAAGTGCTTATCACACTGCGTTTGTTATGCTAAAACATCAATCAACATGAAATGTGTTTTCTTGCGTTTAGAACAAATCAGGCCCGAGGAGATTAATTAGGCTTCTTTCTGTGAGGTATAAGTTGGAATGTCCTTGGAAGACGGGTTTTGAAAACCAAGCTAAGTCTGTGTTGTTTGTCTGACTTTGCGGCTTGCAACGACCATGCTTAGTATGCATCACAATCATTTACAATGTGTGGCACAGCTTGTGGGATGTGAACTGTGCTGGTGGCTTACAAACGAAGCTTGCTTGCTTGAAGGAGGCGGATTCTGTTGCAGGGGTTTTGGACTACAGCTTGGCTTCCTTGCTTGCGCCACCTTTCTGACAGAGGCAAGACTTAAGCTTTTGCCTGGAGCCAATGGCGTTACCTTTGCGTTAATGATTGAGGGAGGCTGGTAGTCCAGCGAACATGCTTGCCCTTGTACTGGAATGCAGAGGCAGGAGCTCGCAGCTGAATTGCAGAATCTGCGGCAGCTGTCAGCGGCGTGCCTTGGTTGCCCGTGGCGCCAGGAAGGTGCGCGACGGGAGGGTGGTAGCAACGCGTGGTTCGATTGCTTGGAGCGTTGTTGTATCACAGCTTGCTGAGCAGATCAGTGCATGGCTGAAAGTTGTTCTGTGAAAGCAAGCACCGCAAGCATGAGTGATTCCGGCCTCGGCTTTTCACCCAGGCAGGGCAACAGCGTGCAGTTTCTGCAAATTGGGCAAAGAAGTGCCGCATTTTGCGTTTTGCTGTTTGGCTCACGCATGGGAAACGTGCTGGATGTAAAGTGCCCGTGAATATTGTAGGGCACTCAAATTGAATTCTGCGGACAATGAACCGTTTCCGCAACGGACACGTTATCAATGGAAACATTGCAATGGAAGTTGGAAGCGCGAACCATTGTAGTACTAAACTATTGGAACAAGAAAATCATGAGAGCACCATATGACACGGACAGCACAGTCAAACACCGGTGTTCTGAGCCTTCTAGATCACCAGATGTCCCACTCTTGCACAATACACCCACGAACCCACTTACCCACCCACTCACCCACCCACTCACCCACCCACCCAGCCGTGGTCGTGTTTTGCTTCCTCATTTTGGTGAGGCCAACTTGAGGGGGGAGACGGTTGCGCATGGAGCAGTTGCCAGTACCGAGGACGAGGGCCTGCGCAGTGGACAAGGCGGCAGAACAGCTGCGCCACGGAAGCCGCGTAGTGAGAGACCTGCAGCGGCGTCTACAGAACTCCATGGAGGCGTTGAGACGGCCACAGACCTCCGATTTGGACTAGGGATCGTTTTGAAGAAAGAGAGCGGTGCATCTGGCCTTGTTGAACCTAAGGCACCTTGGGTGCTGTCATGCACGAAAACAAAACATGGAGTTGGGGGAGGATGTTGGGAGTGAACCCTGAAACAAGTTCCATTCAGGGTCATGTATGGTTACTGGATGAGTTGAACCAGGTGACCATCAGGCGTTCCAAAGGCCTCTTGGCCGGCCATGTCATGACTCTTAGCCCAGAACCCCCTGTGGAGCCACTGGCACCGTCTTCCTTTTCTTCTTGGCTTTGAAGGAGGCAGCCACCATATGGGTATGGGTCAAAATTGAACCAACGGGGGATCGCAGGTTTTAGTCCTTGGTTGCATTTACCAGGATTCGATTCTGGGTACCTATGTTTGACCCATGGCCATATGTTATCTTAAATTTGGTCACTTTGCAATCAGATTGAGACTGCAACTTGCTTAGATGACCCAAGAAGTACTGGAATACAGATGTTGACCTCCGCCTGATGAGAGTTTTGACTGTGGCACCTGTGATCCAAGAGATGGTTTTTGGTTGGGATCTGGCAGTGGGGGTGTCTTTTGGGGGGGCGCCTGCAAAGATTGGCACCTCTTGCACGAAAGTTTTGCATCCAAATGCGGCTGGGAACCTTGTTCTGCCGGGACGTGTTTGTAGCGCGCAGGCGTTGTGCTACATACTTTTTCCCGATCTCTCTATGGGGTTGTCTCATGTGAAAGTAACATGGTCTTGACAAGTAGTTCACTTTTGTCCAACCAGAGGTACCGTACCCAACTTCTTGGTGTCAGGCCTTCCGTGAGTCTCTGCGGGCCAAGTCGGCAGAGATGCAGCAGCGGCATGCGGAGATGTGGCAGGACCGTGGCTTGGCACGGGGAAGTTGAGCGTTTAGGAAATGGTTCGAAACGGTTTGGAAAAATGGAGATGGTGGGAACCGTCAGGAGACGGGAAACTGGAGATGGTGGAGATGGAAATTGGAGAAAGGGGGACGGTATGGACTAGCGAGGGAAATGGTTGCGAGCCATTTCTTGTGTGGCTAAGGAGTTAGGGAAAAATGTGAGTCAAGTTGTTCATTTTTGTGTGTTTGTGTTTGAGGCGAGAGGGCAGACGCCTGACGCTATTTTGATATTGATCAAAGCTCACCTCGACCTGGACGGATACACAAGTTTTCTGTCGGTTACTGGCTCGATCAAACAACTGGAGTTGTTGACTCACTACTTCGCGGGGTTGAACATGAACTCCTCATACTTGCGGTTGCGACTTGCGCCTCTAGGTTTGCTTGTCAGAACCTGGGTTGAACTTTGTCACTCGGCACATGTTCGGTGGATTTGCTCTCCGGCTTTTACCTTCCTCCGGACTACCATGGAAGCTCCCAGGACCAAAAAGCCCTTTGGACTTGGTTCCATTTGCAGCCTGGGAGCTTCCAGCTGTTAGCGCGAGGGAGTGTACTGCGGGTCGCTTGGGTTGTTGAGTGCCTGGGCCTCGGGTCCGAGGTCAGGGGGAGCTCCAAGGCTACGCTGAGGACTTCCAGCGGCGCCTGGAGGAGCTTAAGGCCTCGCAGCGACGTGAGGCGCGGACTTCGGGGGCGGGGGGTGGAGGGGGGGGGGTGGGGGGGGGGGGGGCCACCACCTAGGTGGTTGTGCCGTGTGGGTGTGCGGGGGGGGGGGGGTTGGGGGTAGTTGGTAAGGGGCCACGCAAATGATCCATGCACGTGGCGCCCTGGGCATTCAATCATGTGGCTTGGCTGATCTTTTTAAACTGAACTTTTCATGCGATTGGGTTAGCATAACGGCCATTGGCACATGAGCATTGACAATGTTCAAAGCCATGTATGGGAAAGGAGGCTGAGACCAAACTGCAGTGGCAACGCAGATGCATCCACAAAGCCACAAGGTATCGGGTTCTGCCCATCAGCGGCTTGTTGTTTAGGGTCTAAGTACCTTCAGAGGAAGTACTTTGACTCACTTCATCCCCTCAAACAAGTTCTCAAACAGTACTTGGAGCCTCTGGGTTTGGTTCGGGTCCAGCCACGTCGTTCCGTCCGTTCGTCAGGCGGACCATGTACAGCAGTCCACCGAGCAGTCGGTACTCCAAATGCGGCGCATGCACGAAGCGGAGATGAGCTCCTGGCAAATGCAGGCACTGAATCGGCGCTCTGAGCGAGCCTCGGCTACATGAAGCCGGATTGTTTCATGGCTTTCTTGCATTTGATGTTGGTTACAGAAGAGGTATGTATATTAAATTCCGCATTTTGTGCCCCTCCAATCAACATGGAACCTGATGTTTGGGGAGGCTTGGAAGACCATTTTCCTTTCAAAGAGGTTTCTGTTCGGTTCCATGTCAATTGGTGGGAGGGTCCTTTGCAGGAATCCACCGCCTGGAGCACGAATTCGCGGAGGAGCGACGCCTCAAAGAGCAGGCCGCCCAGAACGCAGAGCATGAGCTGGCACAGGCAGAGGGGCCGGGTTGCAGTTGAGAAGCTGGGTTTGGCTCAGACATCTTGGTCAATGTGCGCCAAAGCTTTGCCAGGATTCGTTGGAGAAACATGAGTTACTTGTTGGCTTGCTATATTTGATTTCCGGCAGGTGATATTCTTGTTCGTCGTGCTGGGTGTTCGCAACAGGGGCCTAGGCGGTTTTTGAATGGACACCGAAAAGTAAAGCACCCACTTTCGGGGGGCCCTATCTCAGCGCTTTGTTGTACCCATGCTGACCTAGGCCAGTTACCCTCCCTCCCACTGACATGGCAACTGACACAGGGTCCCCCAAGAGGAAAGTCATTTTCCGGGTACCCTCCCACAGCTGATATGTTTGTTGGAGGGAGGGTACTCGCATTTTCCACCATGCTTCTGCGGCTTGTCCAGGTTCAGAAAGATCTGCTGGACTTCAAGGCGTGTTCGGAAGGGATGCCAATCAGCTTGGTCAGATGTGCGCTCAGAGCATGAAGCTGCGTACGTATTCTGGGATGTTTCCACGGGAGGCAAATCGGTTATGTCGAGTTTACAGTGGCACGGTTGCTACATTGCACTTGACCTGTTCACGCGCTCGGAGTTGCGTACTTTGAGCAAACGGTCAGAGCAAGATGAAATAGCATGGAAGGTGTCCAGCCACGCCAGGCCTTGGGTTTTGGATGCTAAGCCTTTCAAGGCGCTTGACATTTGTCATTGTGTTTATGCTTTGCCAACTTTGCTTGTTTCCCCGTGTGTGACAAGTTCAAGCAACCTTAGCCTTGATCCAATTCTTTCTTCATTTTGCCCCTTCCTTACCCCATCTCCACCCGCAGCTCCACCGTAGCAAGGCGTTTCCCCCAATACAGCACCCTTGTGCAAAATAGGTTCCTTGCGCAGTGACCCATCTGCAACTATTGTAAGGGGGGGGCAGTTGGTTGCCGATCTTACCGTTCTGAAGCCAGGCTTCCTACCGGCTGGTGGATCAACAGGTTGATTCCCTGCGTGGCACCTTGGAAGAGATGCGGCGGAGGGCGCATCAGGCGCAGAAGGACGCGGACCAGGCCTTTGAGGAGGCCAACCAGGCGGAGGCCAACATCGCCACACTGGCGCAGGAGATCCGTTTCTTCTTGCTTTTTGCAGGGCTACCAACCGACCATGAAGAACCTGACACCTTTAAGGGGGCTGTTTTTTTATTTGTGCAGGAGTACCAACTGTGGAACCTGACACCTTGGCGGGGGGAGCATTTTGGTTCCACAGTTAGTTATATATCCAGCTAGGTCCAATGGCACCCCTTTGTGGACTTATGTGCCGCAAGGTGCGTCACATCTTGTTCTAGACAAAGTGGAGCCCCAATCGTTTGCATGGCTGCTTAGCAGCGCTCAAATACAGGAACTATCATATGCACTCAAAGCAAATCAAAGCATGTGGGGCGTGCAGAGTGCACGATACAAATCCCAGGTGAAACTCTACCCAACTGGTGGTATAGGGCGTGAAAGTTACGTCAAGTGATGTTGATCCCTCTTGAAAACTGGGAGCATGATACGCCACCTGCAAGATGTTCGACCAAAAAACCCAGGATTTTGTCCCAAAACACCCCACAAACCCGGATTTGGTCCAGTTCCCCTGGGTTTGCGTCCAGGACATCGCCATGCTGGAGGTGCGCCGAGGCTCTGATTCCCCAACCGCCGTGCTGCCGCCCAAGCCGCCCAAGCCGAAGCCTCCGAGGGCGCCCGGCCTCACGGAGGCGCGGCCGTTTCCAACTTGCGTGCGGAAAGTTCCAGGACTTGGGCGGGTTATCCTCATCTAGAATGGGCAAAATCGGCGTGGTCCTTTTTGGTTTCCACTTTTGCTCCGAAAGGGGGTACCCGCAAAAAGAGGGCGCACTTTTGAGATATGTTCTAGGGTGTATTCCTTTGGGCTGGCGATTTGCATTGCTGGGGCAGAATCAGGCTGCATGACTCTGTATAATGTACAAAACCATGTTTTGCCATATTCTTGCTCCCTTGGGTGCCAAACAAGATCGCACAGCTGCATTGTTCAAAGTGCAAGCCAAGGGGGCATTTGCAATATTCAGTTTCCGCAGCTCAAAGCAGAGACGCTTGATCCTTCCCAATAATTTCCATCGTTTGGCAAGTTCTGTTGTGGTAAGCTTTGGTGTCTACGACTGCGGCCTAACTCGCTAGTCTGAGAGACCCTACTGTAAGCCTTTGGCTGTTGAGGGCCGGGGTAGGTACTGCACCCGCTTGAGAGTGTTTCAGCTTCTCGCCAACGGGAACCCAAGCGAAGCTCTGGAGCTCGCAAAAGGTCTCCCGAGCCCATAGAACTTTAAAAACCCCTGGGCTATCCCTGCGCAAACCTATGAGCTCAGCCCACTTCCAACTTCCGGAGTGGCGGTTGGGCAAAGAGACCCACTCACGAGTCCCAACGCGACCGCGACCGGCCGAACCGAGGAGCTCCGGGAGGCCATTGCCAGCCACAAGCACCTGGAGGCGGAGCTGGCGCAACTAGAGGCCCAGCTTGGGGACTTGGAGGACGGCCTGAGCCCGCGGGCCAAAGGTCATGGGGCTCCATTTTGGCTCATGGGGCTGTTGGTGAAATGGTGGAGGCCTGCCGGAGTGATTTTTCGTGTTCTATGGCTGCTTGCCTTGACTGAAAGAAATAAGATATCTCAGATTTGGTGCCAGCGTGCCTGTTTTAAGGTTTTAGTTTCCTCGGTCGCTCACTGCCCCCTGCAAAAAGGACGAGCTGGCAGAGAAGGACAAGACGGCATCTTGTCTGAAAGCCGTGGGGACACGTCTAAGCAAAGCACTTCTTCGCGGGATCGTTTGACTCATCCCTCACCGTATACAACCCAAGCCAACAGGACATGTGTCGAGGAACTGCGGCTGGCTTTTTGGCCCAGTGCTGACTCACACAACATAAGATTGATTGTGGCATTGCGCAGATGCACGGATGGACCCGGGATCACGGCGTTGCAACGAGGTTATTCCCACAGACATTTCAGCTTTGGGAGATTTTGGGAGAGCTTTGGGCTGGCTACCTAGACCACAAGGCAAGCAAAAAGTTTGTTTACGACGTCTGCTACTCGCGCTTTGCATAGTTTTTGTTTTCCTTCGCTAGGTGCAGCAAGACAATAGCAAACGATCTCAGCAATTGGGCGAGAAGTGCCCTGTTGCTTGTCTCAGCGACGGGCACCTTGAAGAATCCTTCTTCGTCGCGCAAGGGACGACTCTTGGTTCAGACATGCGCACAGACATCTCAACCCTGCGCAATGCAAGACATCCCAGCACAAATTTCAATATTTGTAAACAATGGACTTGCTATGCAGAGGTGCGTATTTGGGTCATTGTTCGGGCCTTTGCTGAACTCTTGGGCGCAGTGTGCCTTCAGTCCGTTGTCAGATTGGATGCAACATGTGGACAAGCTTTACTCAAATCAAGCCAGAAGCGCACCTCCCCCGACATCCAAAGCATTTGTTGAGCTCAAAAGCGCGAGCTCCCGCAGTCCCGCAATACACGCCAAAGGCCTGAATACATGAGCACATGACAGTTCTGTGGCCAAACATATTCGGGGACGCGAAGGGTAATTCCTGTACAGACCCAGAGGCGTGGCTGGGCCCTTGGGCATTCGAAGATGTTTTCCACTGCCCCCAAACCACCACTTCCAGGGGTTGAATGGGCTGTACAGCCACAAAAAAGCCAGTATGTCAGAGGTAGGCCATGTGATTTTCTACTGCCACTATATAGCCAGTATGTCAGAGTTATTCTACTTTGGGTTGGTTTGAAGGTGATAAACGTCTTAGCTTTCGAATTTGGGCAACAATTGGCCCCCCAAACCGCTTAAGGTGGAGATCCTGGAGGTGGAGACAGAGGAGGAGCGGCTCAGAACCCACCGCCTGCAGGCCAGGATTTTGCAGCTGGAGCAGGCGCTCAGCTGAGATCCGAGAAGCAACTCATGGGTTTGTTCTCACCCAGAATGAAGGTTCAGTTCTATTACTGATGTTGTTTACTTCGGAGGGTGGGTTCTAGTATGTTGCGCAGATCCTTGCCTATGATCTATGATTATGCGCAGATATGCAGCGCATGGATTTGAAGGATGTAGCTGATCCATGGCGTGTTGATCAAACGTGTTGAAGCCTTAAGGCTGACATATTTTATGGGGAACGAGTTACTTTGCTCAAGGCATTGCTGCATTTTGTCACGTGTCTCCGTTCTCAAGTCAAATGTGGCAAGCAAGAGGTTGGAACCTTTCGGCAAGTCAATCGGATCTTGACCCAATTGCGGGCTGTATGCTGCTGAATTCCGGCGCGCAGTTCCTTGTTTTTGTGGGCTGAGGGGAAGGCAGAATGGTGCAACTCAACTGGCTTCTAGGCACTTGTCTAAATCGCATTCCTGGCACTCAATCAGTCATCAGGCCCAGTGCTACTGTAGCATTTAGCTGTGGAGCTATGGACTCTTTGTGTGGATGGTCCCTTTTCTCGGATTTCAGAGCCAGGCAACTGCATGTACATTACGGCAATATGCCAAGTGTGTTCAATAGCAGTTGTTGCCTGAGCAACAACGCGGAGAGGAGGATGCTGGAAGCTGCCAACTATTTTTTTTTCCGGCGCAGCATGGCAACAGCGTTCTTGTCAACAGGGCTTGGTGACAATCAACGTCAACAGTGGCAATTACACAATGCAAGTGCTGATTAACGATCGCAATTACCAAGTGCAAACGCCACCAAAAGAAAATGCACGTGCTCTAGAGTCAAAAGTGTTTTTGTCCTACCCGCGCTTGACGATGCAGCACCCTCCGAATTCGCGTGGCCTGCTAGTGTGCATGACCCTGCCTTAAAGACACCAGGCTCATCTCAAAGATCGAGGATGACGCGTTGCTGTCTTTGCAAGTTGTTGTTTCTCAACTTGGCAGATGAATTCAAGGTGCAAGGTTGTTGGAGCATGCAGCATGCATGTGTCACCGTTTCACGCTTGAGGACAGCATCATGTGTGTTGTTAACGTTGCGCAAAACAAGGGCTGAACTCCTGCCTTCGTGCGGCGTGTGCGGGAGCATGTGGCTTTGTGGTTGCTCATTGGCCACTTGATGGCATGGCTTCCAAGACAATGCCGCAATTCCTTCCCAGGCGACGGGCTCTTTGCTTTCTTGGCCAAGCCTTCCAATGGCCTGACTCTTTCTCGTATGAGATCTTCTGGGGCTTGCCTTCCTCATGAAGTGGAGCACCCTGTTCCGTACCATTCCGTACCGCTAAAAGGGCACGCCACAGGAAGTCCTTCGCCACCCCGTAATGCCCCTAGTTGCGCTTCGGGCCTGGCTTCCAGTTCGTGAGGACTGTGATTGGGTCACATATCCTGGTTGGCGCATGGTGACGTTGCGATCTTAGACGCCAAGCATTCAGTTCGAGAGCAAGTAACTAGTAAGTTTGCAATGCCAACAGGGCAGCAAGTTTTCGGCAGGAGCTTCGGGCCCATGTTCTGTTGAACGAGTAGGGTAGGGCCACCCATTGGTTTAAACATGTTTAAACCACTGGTTATGATTATTCCTGTGTAAAGGTGGTGCTTAAACCATATTTTGCCGCACCCAGTGAACGAGCCTTCTGACTTTCTGAGCAATGCAAGCGCCACATTGCAGGAGCCAAGCACCGCTTCTGAGGCCAGCTGGAAACTTCGACTTCGAGGTTGGCCGGGGCCTGTGAGAGGTTGCGAGCTTGCTCGCCTGGCCGCCTTCCCCGATGACAGGGGCGGTTCGGAGACGTGAATACCTACGTTGAGGCATTAGGTTGGGACTTGCAGGAATATGCAGACTTTTGTGCATCAGACATTTGCGCTAGAATGCTTCAGAGCCCTTTCTTCGCGGAATGGAAAGAAGGACGGGTATTTTGGCAGCATGGGTTGCATGCCTTCCCCTTCTTTGTCTCGGTCGGATGCCCAGATCTGACAGTAAGCTTGCTCTTTTGCCAGTCCATGTCTTTCGACCGGCGAATCTGTTGCGCTGCGCCGAGGCAATGAGCAAAAGTGGGAGCAGCAGGTGGGTCGTTTTGGCGGGCCCAATGCCGTCCAGGACCGGAATGTCGATGTTCCACGGCTGCTTTTGGCATGAGTCGGGGCCGTGAACCTGCCTGTGAATGTCCATCCAGTTGAGCGGGGGAAAGCCTCAGCTCTCAAAACACATCTCGCTTGAAATGGGCAAGCAGAGCCTTGCAGCCATGACCTCTGAACAGCGGACTCAAGGAACGTTTAGCGCAGCTGACAAAGCAAGATTTGATGACAAACGCACATGGGTTGAAACAAAGTGACATAGCGACTTCTACATATGGTAGGATTCGCATTCCAGTCAGACAGCCTGTTTTGTTAGATGACGAGTATGCGGATTGCCGCTGGTTTATCATGGGCAAATGAAATTTGTCTTCCTTCAAGCTGCACAACATCGCGAAAATGTCAGTCGTTTGCGCACCCATGGGGTATGAAAACAACAGAACAGTGAGCTCCTTGGCAACAGACATCAAGCCGGGGGGAAGCGTTCGGGCCTTCCCCCGTTGGTTGGTGCCTTCTATGAAGGAGTGGCGCCGGCTAATGGACTTGGCAAAGCCCCTCGGGGAGGTTTCCAAGGCGCAATCTGGACATGTATCGGTGTTCCAGATTGGGGGGTATGTCTTTTGAAGCTTTCTTTTCACAACATTGTCGGGCTTGGCTCCTTGCAAAAGTGGCGGGCATTGCTGTGGGCCGGCCGTGCTGCTTCTCGGCTTCCAGACTGGGTTTACTGCGATGGCTGGACAACTGCAGTCGACATACAAAGTCAACCAAGCAAGCAACCAATCAATCAATCGACAGAACAGGGAGTGCAAGTTTCCGTGTTTTGTTTTCTTCTGGGGTCTGTGTAAATTGCAGTCTGTTCTAGTGTTTGCTTGGGTGCCTAGAGAAGTAACAAGAGAAAGCCTACACAACAAACTCAAACAACTACTAAACAACATTAATTATCGGCAGACAGTCTTTCCACTGGGTCAGACCTGCCCAAAGCCTGGTTGTGGTTGTTGGTTTTAATGTTGTGTTTTCCCCAGTTGTTTTGTTTTAGTCACTAAAATTTTAGTGTTGGGCACTGCTGATCCAGTGGATTTGGTGTTTAATTGAAAATAGTTCCTACAATGGAAACTCGAGTTGATTTTGTTGAACCATGCTAACCTGCTGACTGAGTTGTAAAGACAATTATATTGGAAAGGTCATCCTGTGCAAAACTTGAAATTTTGATTGTGTTGTGTCCTTGTCTTAAATTATATCTAAACTCTGCTTGAATAGTAAGTTCTATTTGGCAACACATTTATATCTAAATTATCAGTTTAAGATAGAATATCCAATAGGATTCGGAAGTATATCCTCATTGAGTCCGGTTCATTGTCCCCGCAAAAGGGTGCGGCCCTTGCCGCTTGCCAAAATGTTTGGTTGTCACTGTAGGATATAGAGGTGCTACCTTGCCTTGTGTTGGGTGCAGCTGATTCGTTGCTTGTGTTTGTTTGCTTGGTTGGTTGCTTGTGTGATCGTTTTTGGTCCTTTGCTTGATTGGTTGGTTGGCCGGTTGCTTGGAGCTTGAATGCTTCTCGATCGACCGGTCGATCGATTGATCGACCGATCAGTCAATTGCTTGCGTGCTTGATTGGTTGTTTGATTGATCGATTATTGATCGATCAGGGCTGGGCACTGCGGGAGTGCATTGTTTGCTATATATGTTGATTTGCTTGCGCATGCAAGTCTGTATCAGTTGTTTACACTTGCTTGGCTTATGCGGAGCTCTGTTTGGAAAAGACATCCTGCGTATATGTTAGATTGAAATAGAATAATATGAATATACTATTTTAAAGTAGAAATTATGGTTGGAATTTGCCCTTAGTAAAAACATTCAGCTAGAATTTGAGTGGACATTGTAATTTAGACAGTTCAATTTAATAAGGAAATAATTCAGAAGTCCACAAACCGGTCTTTACCTAGCCCCCAGCACTACCATAGTCAGAAAGCATCGCACAACACAGTGTTTCGTAGCGTGTTTCATAGTAAATTCACGTATTCTATGGAAAACCGCTCTTTAGATTGAATAGAACTTAAATAGCCTTGTGGCCCACCCAATCTCTTATGGCTTGTTCGGAGACCTTCGGATGGCGGCCATCTATTCGCGGTTCAGGGGATACCAGCCGCTGCTTTACGTGGAGACCTGGGGGTGGCTGGCAACCTCAGCGGACTGCTGACAGAACGACTCATTGCTGTTGTTTGTTGCTTTGATGCGAGCAAGCACTGCACTGTTGGATGCACCTCAATCTGGAAGCAACTTGAAGAGGTGGGCTGGGGTTGCAAACTTCTGGCTTGTAATTCTGGGATATGAGCCAAACAAAGGTGTGTTCTCCGCTTGAAACTAGCATCCAGCAATTCTGCTTAGACGACTATTTGTTCCCCGCCACATCAGGCAGCTGCTTGATTCAGAAGGGGAGTATGCAGGTCAGATACCCAAGTTTCTCTCCCACATTCCAAGGTGCAGACGCCGGAGCCCTGGTGAATTGAGTCATGGCGAGCATAGTGCAGTGCCCTTTCACCCACAGACCAGCGGAAGATGCGAAGATAGTGATGTTAAAGTTGCATCCCATTTCTTGGCTTCACCCTTGGCGAAGCAATGGGTTATGTTTCCTGGTCCCCACTCAGGCTTTCCAGATACCTGCCCCGTCTCCCTGCCCTGCTTCTGAATGGGCCCAAGTTCCAGGCGGGACATCTGGCTTTGGGGCTTGACGAGTGCCGACGTGCAGAAAGCGGCTCATCAGAAGATATCAGAAGTCTGCGGAAAGCGTGGCTGGTATCGAGGGAATGGGAGGGCGCGAAGACAACAGAGAGCACAAATTGGCGTCTCACACAGGCAAGCGCACGGTCCGGTGCAGTGGCCATTTGTGTAGGGGTTGCGGCCTTTGTTGTGCAATATGGGGCCGCTGTTGTGCTCCATTTGGCTTTTTGCATCGCATTCAGCTTTGTTTTTCCAGGTGATCCTGCCACCACAGGCACCCAAGGACATCATATGGAACAACCTTGCCGGCAGACACAGGCTTTCTGACAAGTTGCCAGCTTGATATTGAAACGCGCAGGCTCTCAAGTGCGGCATTGCATACTCCTTTCCTACATTTGGCCAAGAGCTTTGCTCTAGCCCGCCTGGCAGAGCAAGCAGAATGAAGTTGTCACAAACGTAAGTTGCATTGGGGTCACAGAACCAACTTCGGCGCTGCCGATTCCATGAGCAACGCCGCGTTAGCACTCCAAATTCTTCAGCACTTTTTCGCGACGTGCCAGGCTCCATTCAGCGAGTTGCTGCGGGAAGCTCGCGGCCATCTTAGGCAGCTCATCGCCCTCGCAAGTCTGCTTTTGGTTTTTTCTGCGTTGGCCCGTGGCCTGGTGGCATACTAGGCACACTACGGGCCTGTAGATTCTGAATCCGAGCTGATTGGGTCCATGTGCATTTGGTAATTGTGTTTGTGTGCTTTGTATGTTTGGTTTTGAGGTGTCCACGTGCATCAACACGTCTTTTTCCCAGCAGAGTAGGGCCTTGCTGGCGATGTGTGGAGCGAGCGTGCGGTCGCTGAGGTGTGGAAGATCCATTCCTGAGGAACTGGATCGATTACCTTTGCTTCGTGCTGCAGGCGGGCAAAATTTTTGAGCCCTTGGTCGTCGAGAACGGGTCACACCATGTAGCGGTTATGTTGCTACAAGGAAGTGAAGGGATCCATGATGCTGGCGGTTTTGCGTTGTTTGATTGTTTGGGCTTCTCGTGGGTGAGGCCATCGGAGCTTCCTGCCCATCACATGAAACTTTGGCAATGTTGTTCCTACAGTAAAATGACCGGATCGTCCTCCCTTTTGCTTTCTGGACAGCAACCCGCATTATGTTGCGCAACTTCCCGGGTCTTGCTCAAGCAGCAGCACTTGAGCACCCAGATTTTCAAACACAACTGCAAGAGGCATCCCATAGGATAGGAGTCTTGATAACCTGCAGGCGTTGGCAGCTGACGAGCATCCTTCAGCTCCAGTAGCCTACATGGTCTCAGACATGTACACGTGCTCGGCTCAGCCTAAGGCCTGATGGGATGACTGCGCACAAGCAGCCAGAGCAGCTTTGCGCACTCTGCTGTTGGCAGCCTTTGGTTTGTCCTTGTGCGGAGGTCTGGGGCCGTTCTCGACTACCCCAAAGGTGGCATGGGGGTCCTGGCCTTGGCCAGGTTGGGCACGCAGGGGCCTCTAGGCCTTTTGAAACGTATAGGTATGAGTCGACACAACGGACCTTCCCAATTGGTCGGTTTGTTGGTGCCCTTTGAGGACCAAGGGCGGCCCTTGCTTGTCACTGAATGTTTGGCCTGTCCAACTTAGCATGGGTTTGCTAGAGATGATCATGTGAGCCGAAGCTTAGCAGCAGTGCAGTTGTTTTCCTGATTGCCTGATGCATGCCTAGTTGCCAGCAACTATCATCCCATGTGATGGACTCTTGCGGGAATCCCTGAAACAATGTGGGTATGGGTCAAACTTAAACTACCAGGGGACCGCAGGTTTTAGTCCATGTTTTTATGTGCCAGGAGTCCATTTTGGGTACATTTTTTTGACCCACAGCCATGTGGCTGCACTTCAAGGAGAGTGCTGTTCACAAATTGAAAGAGCGCCTTGGACCGAGGCCTTGGTGGACGCCCTTGTGCGCGGGTTGGAGAAGCATGGGGGTCGCATCCGCGCGGGGCCTCAGATCTTTGGCTAGGCCTGTTATTTTGCTGGCTCGCGGTAGGCGAGTCGCTTCGAACACGAGCCTGACAGAGACAAGTTGCGGCAGCTTTGACCACAGCATGTTCCTATTTGTCCCGATACTTGCTTGCCACCTGGCCATCCCAGCAGCAGCTGACCAACATGGTGGAACGAGTTCATTGTGACGCAAGAAAGCTCCTAATGTTTGCACCTCTTGCAAAGGGAAAGGCCATCAGCACCCTGCGTGCTGGAACTGCTCTTCAGAATTTTTGCTGACGCACCCCATGCCAATCTGTTCTGCTCATGTTCCCTGAAGAGAATCACGGCCCACGGTGCCAGGTTATGGCAGTCATGTCGACAGTGTCATGGTCGACGGCCGAGCTTCGGGCTCAGTATTCTTCTCCAGATCATTGCCAATGCCCTGGTCGCAAGGCACGTGAACGAGTTCCCCGTCTTTACTTTCGTCTTATTGCTGAATGTAATGTTGGATGTGTGATGTCATCAGGCACCTTTGGCATTGTTTGCCGGTAACCAATCTCTTTTACAAGGGCCATGCCTTGTGAAGATGCCCCTCAATTATTTGACTTCACGAGTTGTCTGCGGTCCAGTGGCTAATTCGGTTTTGCCACATGTTGATTTCGATGGATGCGCATGGCCATTCACTCCCCGGCCCGACCACGGCCCCAGGCCAAAGGAGTTCGCTTGAAAAATGGCCAGTCGGCGGACCCAAAGTGCAGGGTGCCGATGGGGATGCCAACGGCATGATTCTCCTTGGAGATCAGTTGATACATGAGGTGCTCCTTTCATGAAGTGGTTCAGGGTTTAGCTCTCAACCTCTAGAAACTCTCAGACCTACGAATTTTTCTGCTCGAGCCCAAGGCGCTGGCGTTCACAAATCCAGCGATTCCAATTAGGACAAAACTGCCAGGAAGAGTTCACACTCCAAGATGGAGCCGTCCAAAAGCGATGGATGGTTCGTGACTGGCGTTGGCTGGCATGGGAGGCATCAGAACATCCTTAGGCTCCAAACGTTTGAGGTCCAGAGGAGCTTGGCCGAAATGGCTTATCATCACCTTGGATCTCAGTGGTTTGTTTGACAGGGATGGTGAGTTCATTTTCTTGTGCATGTTAATGCCTGGCTGCGCGATTGGCAAACTGTCCATGTATCCCCGCAGTCGAATACTGAAGCCGTCATCAGCTGCCCAATGAATAGAGGACGGAAGTCAGGCCATCAATGCGGATGTTGTTTGCACATGGGCCATGCACTTGGACTTGACAACGTCTTCGTTCCCTTTGGAGTATGTACAGGGGAGTTTTGAGAGGTCGGCGGAAGACATGCCAATGGGTGAGGATCTTTGAAGCCTTGCAAGGGGATTTTTTAGTTGAAGCTTGGCCTGAGTCACTGAGGGAGATCCGTGCACGGGAGGCAGGGTCCGGTTTGAAAGATGGAGGCACTGTTCAGGGTTCATCCCATTTCACCCGGAATGGGATGAGAGAATGTCCATCCAACTTCAGGAAAGACCTGCTCGTTGCGGATAGGTCATGCAAAATGGTCTGGTGGATTCCTATTCAGAGAACAGCTTTTGGCCACGGAGCTCCACGAAGAGACGAAGCCTGGTATAAAAATTGTGGCAGCATAAAGACACACAGTGCTGCGTTCGTCCACCATCCCTTCAATGGCGCAGATTTGTTTGCGGCCAGCCTTGCATTGAGCCGTAGTATTAATTCCTGGGCTACCACGACACAGGCAATGAAGTGTGCCAAATGATCAATCAAGGTTCACAGCAGGGGTGTAGGGCGTCGCTTTAGGATGCCCATTCCTAAACATCCTCTCCACCAGCCTGCGTTGCAACGGAGCAATCATACCTGCAGGCTATCTGCAGGTGTGTGCGTGTGCGTGTGCGTGTGGGTGTGCGTGTGCGTGTGCGTGTGGGTGTGGGTGTGGGTGTGCGTGTGGGTGTGGGTGTGGGTGTGGGTGTGGGTGTCGGTGTGGGTGTGGGTGTGGTTGTGGGTGTGGGTGTGGGTGTGGGTGTGGGTGTGTGGCTGTGTGTGACTGTGGGTGTTGTTGAGGGCGCCCTTCTTCACTTTGGTTTCAACCTTGGTTTTAAGGGAAACAAGGAAAGCCAGATACACACTGGGCATTTTATGGTCGACATTCGCGCTCCTCTTTTGCGCCGGTGTTAGAGGTTTCTCCGATCAATGGAACGGCTACGACAACAAAGCATAGGTGACCATGCAGTGCCTGGATGTGGTTTAATTAGTTGTCCTAATGTCAGTGCATGTTCGGTTGGCGGAGGGTTGAACGGAGTATCAGAAGGGATTGACCGTGGTTGAGGTTGAGGGATGCAATTTTGCCATGGTCGCGTTGGCGTCAGCTAAGGTTTAAAGAAGAACTGTTCAAAGATGTTGCTACTTGGCTAAGCATTTAACATGCATAGTTACTCCAATTGATTTATCCAGCAAGTTTCGAGGGATGTCTTCAATTCCAATATTTGTTCTTCAGACAGCGCTCCGCCGATGGCCCAGCGAGAAGCATGGGCTGCGTGGAAGGTCTTGCCATGGATCGCGGTTCACGGCATCAGCGAGAAGTCGATCGCATGTGTCTTGCCTATTCCGGTCAAAAGGGGGCAGCGGTATCTACGGTATCTACCGCGCGCCCATTTGGTTTTTCATGTTTTACTGCCTTGCCTTCTTGCTAGCCGTCTGAAAGTGTGCACTGTTGAGTGCGCAATGGGTGAACTTCCTTGCGTGTAGTGGGCTTTGAAAGCACACTGAGAAACCCATGTCAGGATGAAACATGTCCCATCGAACTCTGGTGTCCCTGGATTTGTGGCTGTGCACCAGGCCGTGGTGAGCAATGCCAGCGTTTGGGACACAGCACGGCTGCTGCCAGCTGTGCGCTCAGTTCTTCAAATATGTCCCTCTTGCTGTCGAAGCCGCGAGGCAAGTACCTGAAGTTGGGTTTGACCACCTCGTTTCGTTCGTAATGTCAGGACAGATGGCACTGCTTTTTGCCGTTTGCCAGTTTGTTGGCTACCCAGAGGATTCACATCTTGCATCACCAGAGAAGACAGACACTCTATGATGTCCGTTCTCATCTTGGCTTGCTAGGATGGCCCATCTTTTTGCGGGATCTTTGTTGAAGGAAAGCCCCAAAGTGAATCGGCCCTCCGCCCAACATTTGAAATTGACACACGGACAAAACCAGAGCCCGAGCATAGCAACGTCGCCGCAGTTGGACAGGAAGAGTCAAGGCATTCCAGCGGTAAGTGTTATTTGCCGATGCATTACTTCAGGTTTTGCAATTGTGAAGATTGCTGGCTCATTCCTGAAATCCACCTTTGCATCAACCAACCACTACGCCACAGATCTCATCAATGCATTTGCGGGCAACTCCGGAAGGGGCTTGCAGCAGAGATGGCATCCCTTACCCATCAGCTCCCTGCCTGTTTCTGTTGATTTGTTTCCGTTTGTTTGTCCCTGCTGGGCTGCATGAGAACCCAAGTCTGAGAGTGAGATTCCCAACCAGTATGATTATTACACCTGTAAGTTTGGATGGGCGACTGCACGGGGAAGGGCAGTTAATCGCTTCCCCCTAATATAAAACGTCCCCCCCCCCTAATATTTAATTAAAAAAAAAAAAAAAAAAAAAAAGCGAGGTTTTTATAATTAGGGGTCCCCTGTTCAGTTTTCGGAACTTTAGGGCAGCATTTGGGAGTAGCTTGGTTTTAGTATTGGTTATCAGTGGGAATGTGTTCCCCCCTTTCCGGGCACCAAAAGCCATTCAACTGATTGTTTTTAAGTAAGGGATTTAAATGGAAACGGTGACCCTTTTTTTTTTTGGGGGGGGGGGGGACACCTCGTGCTTGAGTGTTGTGTGTTTGAGTGTGTGTGTGTGTGAGAGAGAGAGAGTGGGTTTTTGTGTTTGTATGTTTGTGGTGTGTGAGAGTGGGTTTTGTGTTTTTGATGGTGTGTGAGAGTGGGTTTGTGCGTATGAGGGTGTGTTTGAGAGAGAGAGAGAGAGAGAGAGAGAGAGAGAGAGAGAGAGAGAGAGAGATTGAGGGAGAGATTGAGGGTGAGATTGAGGGAGAGGCAGCTGCAGGGACTGCTCGAGTCTCGCAGACAGGGAAGTCAGGGCAAAAAAAAGTACCCCTAATACGGATGATTTGGAGGACGAACGGGAAAATCGGTCAAAATGGGTAGTTTAGAATTGGTTTAGTATTGGCCTATTCTAAAAGTAGTATTGACGGATTTTTGAATTCTGGAGGAGGGTTTTTATTATTAGGGTGACCTTTATAATTAGGAAGAAGGAAGTGATTATTTGTGTAGAAACGCGTGTTCCGGACAACCACCGGTGCGGCACGTCGACTCAGGAGTCCACCTGGTCTGCACCGATGCCTAAAGAGCCTGGGGGCCCAGGGTGACGGCATGTTTCTTGATGCTTCTGAAAGTCCCGTTTTGGATGACTTAAGTGGAAACCCAGAGGAAACCAGCAATCTGAAGGGACCCCTCTTGTTGAGAAACACTCCTTCGGCTTCGCTGTTTGTCTGGAGCCCGTCTCTAGATTTGAGAGCTGGCTCCACCATGAACGGATCCTTGTCTGACGGGAGCTCGCAGTGCCACGTTGCCCGACAGGTGCGGGTCCTTCATGCACCTGCACCTGGGCTTGAGGGCAGAGGCAAGATGCGCGTGTGCAGTCCGCCACGTGAGGGCGGATTTCATGAAGCCATGCCTCAGCGGAAGATCCCCTGACTTCCATTCTGCCATGTTGTTGCCCGTTTCATATGCAGTGAGGATTGGTCCGATTAAGTCGTGTTCATGTCGCATCCACTTTGCTGCCGCCCACTGCAGGGACTTCCCACAGACATGCCCTTGCACTACAGCGTCATTCGCGACTGGAAGGCAGGCCAACTTGAGATGCATGGAGACGCTTGCGTGTTGGCTTTGGCAATTTGCTGAGTTGTAGGCTAGCTTGTTCCGAGCGACTTCCTTACACGATCTGATGTTGGGTTCGCATGGGTGCCCTTAGTGAGTTTCGTATAGCAAATTGAAGCAGTTCCAGCAAGCTGCTCAGTGAGGAACAAGCCCCCAAGCCACACTTAGGTGTCAAGACGGCGACATTCGGCCAGGGGGCCCGCCTTCGCAGGAGCCCATCGATGCCACGGGCAACGTGGTGATCATTAGCGTGCCCAGTGTGCGGCCGCCAAGTGCTGGGAGTGAGTGGTTATGTTTTTGCAGTTGACCCGGTGGCCGTTGGGATCATGCCATCAGATACATGAAGGCTAAGCTTTTAGTTTTCTTGTACAATGCACCTGGTCTCCCCAGTGATCATCGCTGAAAGGAGGCACTGGCTTGGTACCCTTCAGGCGGGTTCCCTCCAGACAGGTACCTCTCTCAGGCGTGTTGCACTGCGGGCCTCATCATGTTTTTGTTTGGCTTATGGGCACTCAGGTGGTAAACCCAGATCTTGCCCCACCGGGCAGACACTGTCCGGGTTCCCAGGTGTGTGGCTCTTAGTTGCTAAATTTCAGAGCGGCCTCTACCGGGCGACTTGCTCCTGGAGTTCCACTCTCAGGGATGATACATGCGCCCTGTTACTGAACGAGCATTGCCCACCTTTTGGGTACAGAGACGGACTGGCCAAGTTTGATAGTTCACATGCTCTTTTCCAACAGCATGAAGTCCCAGATTCTTTCAGAGTCAGATAGCAATCGTCATGTGAGGCGATTGCGTGCGAAGATATCCAGCCAGCTTTCGACTTCCGCTGCCCAGGGTGGCTCATCCTCATGCAAGCAGCAAATGGCCTGTGAACATTGCAAGTGATGCTGGCTGGGGCCTGTGCGACCGCAGCATCCTTTGTACCTTTCCTGTTGAACCTGCATGCATGTGGGTGTGGCTGAAAATTAAAGAACTAGGGTTACGCAGGTGTTGATCTTTGTTTCCATTTACCCAGGTGCCATTTGGGCACATTGAGCCACAGCCATTTGCGCAACTCGAGTGGGCCACTCTGAGGCCTTCATGCTTACCTGGCGGCCACCGAGCCCTGGGAGCCGGGGGCCCTGACCCCGGGAGACCTTGATGTCAGCTTTGAGCTGGTTTAGAGTGTGCAATTCCCGGTGCATACGTTGAGATCATATTTAAGCACCAAGCACAGCCCATCCTGTGATCTGTTTTCCCCAAAGCGGCGGCGGGAACACGTTGTCATGTCTCTATGTGGGGTGCCTTTGTGCTAGTTCGTCGGAAGTTGGGCGCAGGAGAAAGCATGGTTGGCTAAGCTGTGTGCTTGAGTCGGGTTTGGCATTCTGAAGATGTCAAGCATTCGTGCATGGTTGCATTGCAAAGGCGAAGGATATGAGACAGCGTCACGAATCTAACCAGGATCAACCGGCATCTCAATCTCTCATCACAGCCTGGCAACAAGTGTGATGAATTCTGATAGTTGCCAGCCTGGCGGATAGGAAGTAGCGCCAGTGTTTCTGCAATCAGCTCGCAGGCCAAGCTGCCCGTCATTAGCAGGCAACTCTGGTTTCAGACTTTTCCTGGGCAATGGCACGCATCGAGGCTTTGGCAGAGCCTTGACCGCCGCAGCCCCGAGCAGCGCCCTCGGCGATTGAATGTTTAGCGACCAATGGGTGATCTTACTGGCTGTTGGCACTAGACTTTCAAAAAGCTGACGCTGTGCTTCAGGATCTGCGGATCAGGATGCTGGTTAGGGCCGTATGCATTGACAAGACAGGGTTGCTTTGTCATAGGCCTGCAGGGTGCAGTGCCGCTGAGCTCCCGATGCCGAAATACATGTTGTGCTCATGACTTCTGCATTTGCTCATGCTACGGGCTGCGGTTCCTCTGCAACTCGTTGTCCGCGATATGAAATTCACAAAAGAAATAGCCTCAGAGCAGCGTCAGTGTTGTTGAATATGTGCCGTGGAGTTGAGGGATTAGCTATGTGCCGTGGAGTTGCGCAGGTCCCCTTGCAAGGGGATGAGCGTTGAAGAAGCGATGAAATGTATGTGTGTGTGTGGGTGTGTTCACCTTTTGTTTTTTGGCACAGGGCCCCTGCCCTGTTCATGTTTCCGGATGGGAGGGCAGAACGCCGTAGCCTAGGTACGCGGAGCTGAAGCGGCGAAGGGCGGAGCCCCTCTTCGAGGCGGTGGAGCGAGCTGTGCCCGCGCCCAAGCCCGGGAAGGGCCCGTGGGACCAACGCGGATCGCGTGGCGGTGGAGGGCTCTGTGCTAGAAATGCAAAACCGGCAAGGAGTTTGCCCCGTTCTGCGGTCCATTGCCTCTGTCAGGGCCCGAGATCAGTGTCGTGTGCTAGGCAAACCAAGCCCCCTGAAACTGGGAAGGTCTTGGAGATGGGATATCCCAAGAAGCTCGTTCTCTCGAGCTGCGTGGGTGTGTGCCTTTGTGGCAACTTGGCTTGTGAGGTCTGGCTGGAAACAGCCTCAAATCTACGCGGCTCGACCGCGTGTGAAGATCCAGGGCGGTACCAGTGCAACTGTAACTGCCCGGCCCTGGCGCCAAAACAGAACGCACCTCCAAAGAATTGGCCTGGCCAACGAAGACAAACACTCCATCAATAAGTCCATTGTATAATGAACATGTTGCTGTTTCCCAGGCTCCCAATCTCCCAATTCCGAATTCGGATTCGGCAATACTAAACCAATTCTAAACTCGCAAATAATGTCCGGCCAGTCAAATTAGCGGGCTCGCCAAAACAGATTGCGTTTCATTTGCAGGCTCATGTTTCAAATTGCAAATTATGTTCCTTTCAATGAATCGTGTTGCCAAATCCAACTGCTTTGGGCGAGTTCAATTTGCCAGTTTGACGGTGGGACTCCCGACTTAATGAGAGCATAGCCATCCTTCGAAGAAGATTTCACTTGGGCATGGCATTCAGTACAGGTAAGTAATTAGCCGATGAACATCCGGCACTGAGACAGGCGGGGTGACATCCAGCAAGGCCCCTCCCTAACCGGTGGCTGAAGCAGTTTTGGGATATCAGATGCTACTGATGCAGCGCAAGGGGCGAATTCAAAAACACGCCTGCAGGCCTGGAGCACGTGAGCGAATTGCACGTGCCTCAGCTGGCGGGTTGACCTAGGACCTGTTTCCCTTCTCAGTTCAGAGCAAATCAACATTTTGACCTTTTCATGTTGGTGCATGTTTAGTCATGGTTCCAACAGGTGATCGCCTCCCCGCGCCAGCCTTGCATGTCCGCCGCGCGGGATGGATTGATGGACGCGATGGATGGAAGATGGGTGGATGGACGGATGGACGGATGGACGGATGGACGGATGGACGTATGGACGGATGGACGGATGGACGGATGGACGGATATGGATGGATGCTAGTGGATGGATGTCCCAAAGACGGACGGATGGATGGCTGGCTTGTGACAGAGGATAGTGGATGGAGAAAGGGATGGCTAGATGGACGGATGGATGAGATGGATGGGATGGATGGGATGGATGGGATGGATGGGATGGGATGGATGGGATGGATGGGGTGGATGGGATGGATGGGGTGGATGGGATGGATGGGATGGATGGGATGGATGGGATGGATGGGATGGATGGGATGGATGGGATGGATGGGATGGGAGGGATGGGAGGGATGGGAGAGATAGGAGGTGCGGGAGGATGGATGGCATGGATGGATGGATGGATAGATGGATGGGTGGATGGGTGGATGGATGGATGGATAAATGGATAAATGGATAAATTGATAAATGGACAAATGGATAAATGGATGGATAAATAGATTCTTTGGATTCTTTGGATGCATGGATGCATGGAGGCATGGAGGCATGGAGGCATGGAGGCATGGAGGCATGGAGGCATGGATGCATGGGTGGATGGGTGGGTGGGTGGGTGGGTGGGAGTGGGTGGTGGGTGGGTGGGTGGGTGGGTGGGTGGGTGGTGGGTGGGTGGGTGGGTGGGTGGGTGGGTGGGTGGGGTGGGTGGGTGGTGGGTGGGTGGGTGGGTGGGTGGGTGGGTGGGTGGGTGGGTGGGTGGGTGGGTGGGTGGGTGGGTGGGTGGGTGGGTGGGTGGGTGGGTGGTGGGTTGGTTAGTTGGTTGGTTGGTTGGCATGCGTGCGTGCGTGCGTGAGTGAGGCGTGCGCGAATGCGGCGCGTGCGCGCGTTATCGGGGATAGCTTAGGTCCAAATCCAATAGCTACGTCAAGTGTGATTGGCATACAAGGCCAGCGTTGGAAGGCTTGAAGCAGATGCGATGGGTTTGTGTCGCCAGCTGTAAGTAGTAACTTTAGTTTTTTTTTTGATGTGGCAACTCGGCAACAGAGCGTCCACTGTTTTGTTCCCAACCTCCCAACACAAAGCAGTGTATAGAGACATGTTGCAAGGGATGGTAACTTCAAGCAGGCTGCGTTAGCGCGCCCAGTTGCCATGAGTTGCGACCAGTGAAACCAGGAAGCTGCGTCTAAAGAGCCTCTAAGCTGCGAAAAGCATACTGCGCTATCAGAAGCCGCTTGGTGCAGCAGTTCCAAGCTGCAAGAGGCACAACTCTCGCAGCCTTTCCGTGACCATTTAGGAAACTGTGATGTGGTTGAGCAGGTTGCTGATTGAGCAACGCAGCACAGGAGGCGTTGCAGCCAAGGACGTGGAGCTGATTGGATCGCCTTTGACCCACGCCAGGTTCAACCGGAGGCGCTCTCGATGTTTGCCGAGCAGTGGGGCCTGCATAGTTTTCTTGCAGCCCAAACACATCAAACACTTTCGGGCTTCGCCACCCATCTTTGGGTCATCAGCCATGATGTTTCATTGAAGCAGGGGGCACGAATGTGATTTTCCACAAGTGCCGCCGGAAGCGGGTGAGTTTGATCACAAATCGTATCATCATCGTCATGGCTGTGTTTGTTTTCCTACGGTCATGGAACAGAACCTACCCAATGAGAGGAGCTGATGCTTGTTGCCCCCTTATTGTTGTGCAATGCCAATTGAAGCAATCCATCAGTTGTAAGTGGGAAGGAGTTTCACCTGTGCATCCTGCATTTCAAGAAAACGAGATAAGCAGTAACTTGACTGCAGCACAAGGACATCACACTTGTGCCGACTTCGTTCCCAAGCAAGCCGGCGAGGCTTGCCGGGGTTTTTCTCATTTGCCGCCCAGCAAACGCAGCCGTGCAACCGACATCTCTTCCTTGCATTCAGATAGATTCTCCAAAAAGCAATTGCGTGCAGCTTTTGGCCTGAATCAAGTGGAATCAAGCGACAAAAAGGGAAAGGCGAAGGCACGCCAGAGTGCCAAGCAATCCCAGCATTTCACCGTACACGTGGGCGGCGTATATATCAGCAAGGCTTGCAGGCTGGCAAAAAGTCGACTCAACTCGTGCTCATGTCCACCAATGTTGGAGATTTCAAGATTTCCATGCTGGCGCCCGGTTTTAGGAATGAGTTATTGGAAACTCCCACGTCCTAGCTCCTCCTGCAAGTTTCATGAGATCAGGGTGAAGGACTTCCATTCCGCGTGCGAGGCACGCGGGCACCTATGGGCCTTTGATGCCAAGCGATGTCGGTGCCTGAGAGCGGTGCTGTCACAGGACGGTAACACATACATGTTAACTTCCTGAGTTGGACTTTACGCTTTGGACCATTGTAGTGGTGAATTAAAAGTTGAGACTTGCTTTTTAAGAAGTGAGACAGAGATAGATGTGAAGCGGGAAAGGGAGAGAGAAAGAGAGAGAGATAGAATAGGTAGGCAATAGCATAGAATAGGTTAGATAGCTACACGCGCGCCTAAAGCTAATTCACGAATACACGTCTTGTTTCAGAAGTCGCCCGAAGTCGTTGGAAAAAAGCAGGCGTCCCATGAGAGAGATTCGGTGGCAGAGAAGGGGGTGTTTCTCCCCTCTGCGTGTACGCAATGAATGAAGATGTGCTATAGAAGGGCAGGGTCAGCGTTCCAAGATGCAAAGGCAGTTCGCATCTTATGTATTCTGCAATGTGATTGGCTTTCTGTAGTACAGGCTGGCATGCTGCCCGGCCCGCCGCGGGCTGAGTGGATCTGTGCGCTTCATGTGTCCCAATTGCCGTTTTTTCTCGGAGGCGTTTTCGGTGAGAGGCTTCATCCTTCTGGCTTTTGGAAATGAGGCATGGGGTGTAGGGGTGTCAGTAATTTAAGCCAACCTATGGAGAAGAACATCCCTCTCCGGAGTGGTTCTGTTCGCCCAGGTAAGTGGGTTCCAGTGTTTCCTTTCTGCTGGGAAGAGGAGTGCATTCCATAGTGCTCGTTGCCTTAGCCGCATCTAGAATTGCACCAAAGTCCTAGGAATGCTTCATACAAGCTTGGCAGGCTTGACATGTTCCGCCAAGAAGCGTAAAATATGCCAAGACCTTTCAAAAACCTTTCACCGCCACCTGGAGCATGAGGTGCTTCACAAAGTTGCGGGCAGTCTTTGGAGACCTTAGACCTCGCCTTTGTTGGCGAGAAAAACGTGTGTCCTGTTCTTTAACGGCGCTCAACTTGATGTTAAGATACCTCAAAGTATGTTTGCGTGACCACATGATGACCCCCATCTTGCGCCGCACGGCGCCGCATTCCCAACGATGTCCCGGTAACACGTAGCTGGGTTTTGTTTCTGCTTTTCGTCCGACGCTGACGTGGAGTCATGTCGGACTTTGTCGGCGAGCATTTGTCAAGGTCGACCCCGGTGGAGGGCCTGTTTTGCTGCGTCTGCCTCAGCAGGGTTTAGAATGTCAAGAACATGATGGCCAAACAAGTCCAATGTCAAGGATTTGCGCAGGAATTTTGGAACAGTGCCGTTTGCCTTGCTCAGTTGCAGTAACGTTCAACCCTAGGCCCAGCCCTCACAGCACCGCTCCCGGATTAGGTGGCGACAGCACCTTCCCAGGCATCGGAGTACCGGCTGCGAGCTCAGCCTGGGGAGGCCTGGGCGAGTCTTTGGCATCGCTCCCAGGCAAGAGGAGACATGGCCATGGTTCAAAACCAATGGGATCCCATTTTGGGATAGGTGAATTCACCATTTTGGTCGGGATTTTAGTGGGGATTGGGATGTTCACTGGGGGTACGGGGTTTTGAGCCACAGCCACATTTCCACCTGTGCACATTGTTGGAGATTCGCATTGCTCAAGGCTTCGCTTCAAGATCACTGCCGGTACACATGAAAAGGTGGCTGAAGTGACGGCGATTCAAAGGGATCTTGCCTGAAGCTCCAAGCAGACCCCACGTCCTGGCAAACAAGATGTCCACTCCACCCTTGTACGTGTGTGGTCACACAAAAGGAGAGGCTAAGTTGTTTTTAGGGAGCACGACCTCAGTCCGCAAATCAACCCGCACTGTCGTCCAGGGATGGCAGGGATGGAGTTTGCCACCTTCCGTGCGAAATTGAGTTGCGCCCAGGCTGCTGTGGCGAGCCGGTGCCTCACAATCGCGAAGTGGAGCACTTCAACTGGAGGGCAAGACTTCAAATATGGATCGCAGTCATATCATCGTGTCCCCTGTTTCCAAATGGGGTGAGCATTCTTTGGTCGGCTAAGTGCTGTTTCTAGCTCAAGCTGAGAGACTTTATTCTGTTTCAAGTATCGCGTAAACAGCTGGAGTTGATTTTACACTCCCTATGCACCCCTTGAAGTGCACCCGTCCTGCATCCGGGTGTGGAGCCCGTGCCGCCCTCGCACCCAAGCACTGACTGAACTTTCAGGGGTGCATATTTGATCCTGGTTCTGTTATGTTCTTTTGACCTATGTTGACGTAGTGCCCCACTTCCAGTGAAAGATTCATGACATGTCATTCATCCCTGTTCATCCCAAATTCCAAGCTGAGCAGAGCAAGTACGTGATGCTTCCTTCCCTTTCAAAGGGTCAAGAACACCGCGGTCTCACCGACCCAAGCAATCAGCTCACACAGTGCCCGCCTGAAGCGAAGGAGCGCTCAGTTGCAAACGGTGCGAGGCGGCTTTTCTGCTGCCAACGCACTGCTGTCGGCCTGGAACCCAGCCGGACGCACACGGGGGTGGTGCGGTACTGCTCAGGGGCACCCGTTTTGCCTTTTTGCTTGGTGGCGTCCGCACCAAAAATGATCAGCCCCGAAAAGGCGTCCCCCTTTTTTGCCACAGTGACTCACAACTGGGTGAGGCTGATACTTGGGTGGTGCAGCCCCTGCTGGCATGAGCAATCAAAATGGCTTTGGCACTTGAGAGTTTCACATGTCACTACCTAGCTTATTTTCTGCCGGCCGTGCCGATCGCACCGTTGCGGGCCCAATCCTTCATCGCCACCAAAGTGCAGCCGCCCTAAACCACTCCGGGTCGCGATCGTTTGTTTCCAAAAATTGTCGGAGCAATCTTTGCGCGGGTCAAAATGTTGCACGTGCCGATGTGAACCTGGGGACCTGATCTATCACCCGTGCGATCCTTGTGCGGAACACACAGTTATGGGAACGCCCAACCTGGCGAAGACCTGGTGCTAGGATCGCTAGGATGCCCCGTGCGCCTGGGAGCATTCTGGGAGCAACTTTCGACTCAGGTTGAGAAGCACTTGGAGGCCAGCTGATTTTTTCATTTGGCGGAGCTTTGGGAGGCCAAACGCTTCGATGTTGACGATTGTTGACGTGCTTCAGGACTGTGAGGCTGGCCACCGTTCAACACATCTAGATTGTGGAAGTGGGTGTTGTGCGATGCTTCTTGAGCCCTGCTCGGAACGACTTAGCTTGGGTCAAGGCTTCTACCGGATGAGACATGTTTGCATGAATGCTGTACCAACTACAGTGAAGTTCACGAGTGGTTTGCATGTATTCATCATCCATCCCCTTCAGCTGTTTATTAGTTTGAGGCCGAACAGGAGGCCCAATCGTGACGATGACAAAGATACAGTGACCCGAATTTGTTTTGTTTGTTTAGACTTGGATTACCCTCCCCACACAAACAAATGTTAAATGACAAGCAGACCTCTAAGATATTGACGCAGAAGGCCCAGTATTCGACTATGGTTGTGAAAGGGGCCTCCAACAGTCGTGGGCATGTGGCGCAAGGGTGACGGACGAGAATTGGAGATGGGATGTTGGACTGTATGTATTTTGTGACTCAAATGATCTCAACAACGTGGCATCCGCAGCCAGGCTCTGGACGCAATGCGGATCCCGTAACAAAGCGGAGGGTCAAAACGCGCACCGCGCGGCCAGGGCTGGGTTGGACAAGGCCACCACCAGAATTCAGGACGTGCTCAAAGATGGCATAGCTTATGAAGGCGTAGGTATGGCAGCAGTGGTCGTAGGCCTGTTTGGGGTAACGATGATGCTCACGATGCTAGCTCGCAATGCTGGTTATTGACGCGTTTGATGATCGCGGAACAGGCCGCTGGGTATAGTTTGGCGTCGGCACGCATAATTTACCTTGACCCATGTAGAGTGACCCTGCCAGGCTACCTTTGCGTTGATGTACATAATGTGGCTCAAGGATTTGCCTTTGAATGCCTTCCCAGCACGCTGCGAATTCGCACCTGGAGCAGTGTCCCAAACTTTTTGATGCGTTTTGAGGAGATTCCACACGCGGAAGCATGCCGGGACCCTGCCTAGGACGCCGCATGCGCTTTGGGATCGGCCCAGAAGATGCTTTTGATCCGCGTCCGCTCTTGGGAATGTTGCTTGCTCAGCGCCTCGGTTTGACGACTTGGCAGGGACGTGGCATGTGACAAAGGGTGGCTTGAATGAACTGGCCAGCCAGTTTGAGCAGTCTTTGGTTTGCCTGTCCAGCGAACATCCAACCGTCCATCTTTCAAGTCGGCTGTCCTGTTGCAGCAGTCTTTGCTTGCAGCTTTGCATCGCTGCCCGCTTCATTTTCAGAGGCAGGCAATCTGGATTTACTCCTTTCGTGGGATGCTAGGAGGTCAAAAAAGAAAGGTTTGTGCGTACGCTGTCATGCAGTGTGGTGGACATTGGTTTGGCTACTCGTATTCTTTGCGAATGTTGACCTGGCATTATTTCCTATGCAGAAGCAGTTGCTTTGCAGCATGCTTCGCTACTGGGGTGCTGCCAATGGCAATCCTGCCAACTGCAACAAAGCGTCCTGGCCCAAGGTCAGGCGTGCTGAGGCGCGGGAAACTATCGTTTGTTGCATACCGTCGCAGGGAGGATTGCGGAATGCATGGAAGACTCAAAGTGCTCATGCAAGCTGCAGCTTGTCCTCAGCAGGACCGGGCATGGCAAAAGATGGCAAAAGCATGTCCGAGTATTGCTACCTGGCTATGGGCCAGCCTGGACAGTTGGCTTGAGGCACAAAGTGTTGCCATCCCCCTGCCTCAGCGTCAGCATGGGTCAACTTGCGCGTGTTTGCATCATCGTAGGGGTGTTTTGCGGTGCCTCATGTCCCGGAATGCTCATTCAGAACATCCGGCTCTTGTCAGCAGCCCACCACTGGTTCTCAAGGTCAAGAGTATGCAAGAGTTGAGCCGTACAGGGAAGGCAAGGCCTCGTTCCTGCAGGACCCAGCACCGAGGTGTTTGTGACCTGCGTGCCGTACAGAAAATGTGCAAACATGTAAGCTACATTTGTTTGCATTTGCTGAACATGTGACTTGGCTGCTCTTAAACGCCAACATCTTGCGAAAATACCATGGGCTGCGACACAGCTTGGATACTTTCAGGGGAGGGGGGGTCCAAAATGCAAGATCTGGTTCCCCGGGAAGGAAATGTTGCAAGGCTGTCAAGGAAGGGAAGGACCCAAGCAGGACCAAAGTGCACCTGCTAAAATGCTACTTACATTCTCGGGCTTTTCAGGCGTCCTCCCCCTGAAGGGGGTGGGGATACTTGACATACAGCGTGCCACTGGGATTGAAATGAGGCCGAGCTGTGCGTCGCTGCTAGCGCGTGCTCAGGTCGCCGGCGGTAGGCTCATTTAGACCGCTCTGATATTTAAGCAGTTGCGAAGCGTCGCCCCAGCCACAAGCTGCTCTCGCAAGCTGCCCGCACAGACCAAGCCGTGCTTAGCTCAAAGCAAGTGCAAGGCCAAAAATGGCTCAGGATAGGATTCGCGCAATACAGCGGGAACTGTGCTAGGCGGGCTTTTCAGAAGGTTGCAACAGAACGTGCCAGCTTGCCCAAAATTTACAGAAAGGCACTGGTGGCTCCACGTGCGCTACCCGTGCCGTGTTTCTCTCAGCCGTCCAAAAACACCATGTTCAGAAGCATACCTCGGCTTGGCGCAGGTGGGCGTACCTGGACGCCGGCAAATCCAGTTGCAGCGCTTTTTGTGTCACCACTGGTAGCCGCGTGAGAGAAAGGCAGACATCGTGGCAGCTGATTGCACGCGATGGTCCAAGTCCCGCTGCTTGTGATGCTCCTTGCACCTGGTGTGCGGCAGGCGCGTGCGTGCCGGCCTTCGGGCCGTCCACCTTCCAGGTTTCGGCAAGTCTGGCAAGGTGTCCCTGCGTAGGTCTGTTTACGCGCTACCATTCTTAAGCCGTCCGCAAAGGAGTACTGGAGCAGTGTTTGAATGACCCCGCACGAGCACGCATCAAGCTGCGAGCAGAGCAGCCTTTCTGCCCTCGGCTTGTCCCCTTCCCACGGCGCAAGGGTGCTTCAGAACGCATGCCTTCTCAAGCTTTGGCTGTGACAAAAAAAAGCAAGGCTCCGGAGGTTCCGGCCAGCAGAGGCCGTCTTCGGAGCGGTGCAGGTCAAGTTGGGCAGCGCCTTCGTGCCACGACCCAAGAAATTACGCAGCCGCTTCTGAGGGACAGTGTTGGCCTTGAGGCTCGGAGCGGCTGTTTGCTTTTTGCCAGATTCACAAAGTCGGTTTGCACCTCCCTTTCTGACCCACTGCTGCTGTGCATGTCATCAGGTTTCTCGGTTATCAGTTGTGTGGGCATGGCCGGGCAAACCACTGGCCTTACCCTCAGCCGCTGTCCAGCAAGGAGACGCCTCTTGCGCCCCTCCAGCATGAACCCGCCTTTTGCTTGAACTGCAAGCGGGGCAGCACAATCCGAGTCCGCGCCTCAGTGCTTCCTTCGGCAGGCGAAAGCGCCGCTTGCTCAGCGCTTGGGTGAACAACAACCATTGGAATGCAGGCACGCAAATTTGAGACCCCGCGCCTGGTCATGTAATGGGAGGAATGCAGTTGAGAGTGCAGACTTTGGTTTTGCCAAACAATGTTCCCGGTCCCCCCAGGGCAGCCAGTAGCCAGCATGTTGCTCAAAACTACCAATTTCTCGTAGTATTCGAGGGCTGCAGCACAGTTGCTTCAAGCAACATTCTTGGCTTGCTTCTTCCACTCTTGCCCACCTCTGCTGTCTTCAGCAGCTTTATCGAGCAGAGCCTATTTGGCTTCAACCTTGGTAGCCGCGTTGGGTTCTTCAGGCCACTTCAGCCGCAGCCAATATCTCACGCGCGGAAGCGACCACTTGAGCTTCAACCCCGGGCGTCAACCTATTGATTCGCAGCCTGCTGTTCAACAGCCGCACCAGCTGTGGCCCGTGCTTTGCAAGCCTCCGCGAGGGGGGAATGAACCCCCTCCTTTTCCGAACGCACATTGCGCACCTCGGTATGGCCTTCACGCATGGAGCGGCCATGAACAGAAGCAAGACACCGCCGTGTTTTGAAAGCTCGCCCCAACACCGACTCGAGAGAAATGCCGAGCCAACTGGGCGGCAAGCCATCTTCCTTTCCAACCACGGGCCTTTCGTCACCTCAGCGCAGCTCCCTACCTTGAAACCCGTCGCTGAGCCAGGCCTGCCATGATCACCAAACGTCACAACCATGGCCTCGCACTCCCGGCCACAGTAGAGAAACGTTTGTCCTTGACCCTCGGCCTGTGTCATAGCTGGTATGGGATGGCCAGACAGGTTCACTCTCGCCCTCTGATCCACATGACGCGCTCCGCTATGCGATGCTCTCTCCTGGTGAGTTTCCGCACAGGGCTCGTTTTGGCGCCAGCCTCTGTGTTCTTTTCGGCTGCGACCATCGGCTTCTTTTCGGTCGCGCTGCTCACCGTAGGGTTGTTTTCGGTGGCTGCGCTCTTTGTCGCACACCAACCTTCGCAGTGCGTCACCTCGGGCCTTCATCTTCAGCTGTGTCCAAATTCCTATCATGCAACCCCTTTCTCTTGCCGTTGATGCACTATAGTCATTTGAGGACATGCTGCTGCCCACTTTCAAAGCGCCATTCTAGCTATATTTCCTCCTGCGAAGCCGTATGGCCTTTTTTGGGGGGACAGAACCCGCATTTGGCATCTTTTTCCCCTCTGGTCGTTGTTTCTGGCGGGTGGCCATATTTGGCCGTACGCAGCCCGTGTTTGTTCAACGATATGTTGACAAAGAAGCGTAGATAACTCTGTGGCCATTTTTTGTGGCCCAGCCCGTATGGACGGAACAAAATGGCACGTATGGGATTCCAGGTTGAAGCCTGAGTTCCTTGTGCAGCACCGAAGTGGCCGGATGTAAGAGCTGTTGTGTTGGCTCCGTGCGGTGCTAGTTTCGTCAGGCTGCCCATGCGTTGCAGAAGTCGTGGCTGCTTCCGGTGTCAGCTTGCCTTTTAGCAACGCGTCGCAGTTTGCCCTGGGTCTTGCCGGGCGTTTGCATGCTTTTGCTTCAGTGCAGCAGTGACAGGCTGCCGTGTTCTTGGGAAGTGCTGCGCTTTCCTGGCATCCCACACCCCACGCACCTGAAGCCAACACAGTTGTGCTGCCAGCAACTTCTTCCAAGATCCTGGAAGATCGGACATTGCTTGACTCAATGCCATTCCAGTGCTTGTGGCATTTGAGGGCGTCCGCCCAGCTCTTGCGGAAGGCTTCATACCTTGGATGCTGCCAAAGCAAGCTTTGCCTCAATTCCCCTCTGCAAGTACTCATGAAATGCCACGCCTCCCGACTGTGCGTATGTGACCCACTGTTGCTGTGCATGTCATCAAGTTTGTCGGTCAGTGGAAGCAGCAGGGCATTCGGGCAGAGGCATGGGCGGGCAGGTTATCAGCCGCATTGCAAGCCGTGAGGCCAAGCGTCCCAAATCTCCGGGCCAAATTCCCTGCCATTGGTCAACTTGCGGCTACTCATGTCCTGAAATGCTTTTTCAGACCGTCTGGCTGACGCTTCTTTGTCAGCAGTCCGCTACTTGAGCAGAGGGCTCTTAAGGTCATGTTGCGAGATTGTCAGACCCAGTTTGACATGGCAAGAGTTGAGCTGTCCAACTTGCCATTGACACGCCAAGGAAGGCAAGTCCTCATTGTGTCAGCACCCAGCACCGAGGCGGCTGCCCCGCTGAATTTATGGAACATTGGACATACTGCGCGCCACCAGGATTCAAATGAGGCCGAGCTGTGCGTCACCACTGCTGGCGCGTGCTGAGGTCGCCAGTGGTAAACTCATTTAGACCGCTCTGATGTCCAGCCAGTGGCTCGAGTGTCCAACACCAGGTCTCTTGGCTAACACACTGGAGTCAGGAGCTGTGCGAAGCGTGCTCATTGGTATGGCGCGCCGCTGACTCAAAGTACACTTTGCAAGCTGCCATTGGATGGCCCTTTGCCAAAATCTTCACCTCCTACTAGAACGTGCCGTTCCCTACCCACGAGCAATTCTGCAAGCACCCGGTTCTTGCATTCCAACGCTTATCTTAATGTTGCCACTGGCAACGAGCCCTAGTGCCGCAATGTATGCAGCTGAGCGCATTGCGAGGTGGTGTTCAGAACGGCACGTTTCGTTTTTGTGCACCTCACTGTGTCCAGCTGAGCTGACTGACCAATCCAGCCTCTTGTAAGAAAATGTGCCAGAGCCAAGAGCCAGCGGCGTGTTGCGTTGTGATTTGCTTCTGTCACTGCAGCTTGGCCGGCTCGGAGTTGTGGCATTGCGGGGCCTTGTTTTGAACACGTCGCTATGGCAAGCAAAAGAACGGGGCTGTGGATTGTGTTTGAAGCAGACAATGCTCTTTGGGTACGTGGTTTGCGCACGTGCTACACGTGCGAGTGTTGTTGGCCTTCATTTGTTTTCTGAGCAGAGGGTCTTGGAACCAACAGGCCAGACATCTCTTGCTAAACCAGACTCGTTGAGGTGCTTGCCGTATCCACGAAGGGCAAGTGCACAAGGTTCCCGCGACCAAGTGCAACCCAAGTTTCTATTCTTGTTTGGCCCATTCTCAACTGCGAACAGCTGCACGGGTAGGAATCCAACAGTTGGCAACACGCATGTTGGCAACAGGCATGTCCTTTTCTTGTTTGCAGTTCCTTGCAGTTACTCCAGATGAGTACTGTTGGGCATGTGCAAATGCAGTGGTGCACGTCGAGTTATTATTTTTGCTTGTGAGGCTACGGTGCAGGTTGGGGTGTCGCTTGGGTACTGCAAGGCCTTGTTTTGGACACAACGCTACAGCCTCAAAAGCTCGGTGGTGGAATGTTCGCTCCCACAGGCCCGCCTTTCGTCGTAGGGCGCAGGCTGCTTCATCACCAGAGCTGGAAGAATCACTTGGAGGCCAGCTCTCGATGCCGTTTTCATTTTGGCGGAGCTTTGCCAGGAAAAGAGGCTAAACGCATCGATCTTGACGTGCTTCAGGACTGTGAGGCTGGCCACCGTTCAACACATCTAGATTGTTTAAATGAATATTGTGTGATGCTTCTTGAGCCCTGCTCGGAACGACTTGGGTTGGGTCAAGCTTGCGGATGTTCAAAGGCTTCTACCGGATGAGGCATGTTTGTATGAATGCTATACCCACTACAGTACAGTTCACGAAAGGTTTGCATTTGTTCATCATCCATCCCCTTCAGCTCTTCATTAGTTTGCGGCCGAACAGGAGGCCCAATGGTGACGATATGATGTTCGAGGACAAAGATACATTGGCCCGAGTTTGCTTTTGCTTGGTGTTTGTTCAGACTTGGCTTTCAAGGGCTGTCGCTACAATCCCAATTGAAAAATGACATTGGCCCAGAACGCCTCTTGGATGGTGGTGCCGTATTCCGACCAAGGTTGTGAAGGGGGCCTCCAACAATTGTGGTGCAATGAGAAGAGTCAGGGCATGTGGCGCGAGGGTGACGGACAAGAATTGGAGATGGGACGTTGCGCTCCATTTCCCGAAGATGTGGCATTTGTAGCCAGGCTCTGGACGCTGGCGCAAAGCTGAGGGCCAAAAAGCGGCCACGGGGCCAGAGCTGGGTTTGGGCAGCTTTTTAGCAGATTGAGAAATCTGATATGCACAAGGTAGAATCTACATGTTGCTTAAAGATGGTAAGGCTTACACTGGCTGCTTCCACCACCAACCATCGAAGCTATGTCAATGCGATGTCCTCCAGATTCGATCGAACTTGGCTTGCATGTTCTTTCCAGCCGCCCCCAGTGACTAGAGGACAACTCCCAATACAGATAGTCAGCCAGGGAATGATTGGAGCATATGTGAGCTCATACCGAAGGTCAGATATCCTGGCATGCCTCTTGATGATACCAGCGTCGCATTGTGAGAAGAAGGCTCAATTCCCGCAGCTCGGTCACAGTCGAGGGCAAGTTCAAGAAGCTTGGCTAGCAGAATTGCTATGTGGGAGCGTGGGAGGGTGGGTTGGTAGAGCGGCCTGCCTTGCAATCTGGTGCTCGACAGTGGCTTCGGCCCTTGACACCTCCATAGGACTGATGGTTTGTTTCAGAGACAAACCTGCTCGCATGCAGGCTGCATCCCATCAAACAGCAACTATTGATCCCAGCGTTACCTTCGAAGGCCGGCTTCTCCATCAATGTCTCTTTTGTCGAGAGACCCCTCAATATGTCTATTGATGATAAATTGTTCAAAGTAGTATGGTCTTTTGAATCAGTCCTCAATTCATTGGAGCACCGTACTGTATGGGGGTGAGGACATGTCACGGCTGGTGCCCAGAGGGTGTGCTTGAGTCTTGGTTGCTGCTCCAGCCGAGGATGGCAATGTTCCAAGTGCCTACGCGGCCGGCAGGTCACGTCCACGCAGAATTCAAAGCTGGCCGCATGGATTGGGATGGCAGGACGGAAGAGCAGGTAGCCGCTTAGCCAGTGCCTGGCACTATGCTTAAGGCTTATGGGTGTTTAATATACCATTACAAGAACCATTGACTTGCAATCTGGGCATTTGTTTACTGGTCAGGTTTGGAGTTGAACTTGCGGCACCATCAGCAGCAAGTGGCATCAGCGGCAATCCAAAGAGTGTAATGGTGGCTTTAGGCCAGATTTGCCAACCTTGGCAGGCACGTCTGACTGAACTGCAATGTTTGCTCGTAGTTATTGCCCCGCATCAGCAATTAGGAACTCAGGACAACACCAGTTCTAGGATTGTGCGCTCGTCGGCTGTGAAAGCGGCAGGATGGTGACACCAGACAAGCGCAAGGGTAAAATTCTGCTGTACACCTCCGAGGACAGGTTGCAGCGTCATTCATGCAGTGCGGTTTACCTTTCGCACCGTGCCAACTACCGTGCAGTTTCTGATTTGACCAACAGACTGCCAATGCTGTTGTCCCAGTGGCTCATGAAGCTCATGCGATGCTCTCAGAACGCGATCACCTCTGGGCCATGCTGACAGGAAGACCAGCTGACCCACTTCCAGTGGCTGGACCGAGACAAGAACGAGACGGTGGTTGATTTGATCGTCATCAATGATGCCTACCTGGAGCGGATCCCGAATCTTTTCACACATGGATTTGAGGGGTTGTGCACCAGCTACGGGGCTTGCTTTTGCGACAAGTGTTTTGGGGGTGCTTGCTAGGGGAACCGCCGCAATTCAACGTTTTCAAAAGGAAAGTGCAGAAAAGAAGCGCATGGTTTGCTGTCGGAAGCCTGAGGAAGTGCACCTCTGGGCGTGCATACATCCTGCGCTTCACCTCTTCAGACAAGAAGATGTTCTTTTGGATGCAGGAGCCCAGCACGGACAAGGCCAGGAGCTGTTTGTGGGATGCGTGACAGGCGACGGCACTTGCCCATGTGGAAATGCACTGAAGAAATGGACGTGGACAGGCCAGGGTTGACTGTGCCGCTGATGTTCTGTTCCTTGAATTTCCCTTCACACACTATGCAGAAAGGATGTTTCCAAGCTGCGTGCGTTCTTGATGTGTCTTATGCGGCCACCTTTTGGGCGCTGTGCAAAATGGAAACCAAAGGAAACCACCGCTCTTTCTCCACTCTTTCTTCATCCAAGCGACCGGGCCATATCGCGGCCGCTGGGAAAAAGGAAGCCACCAATTTGTGTGGGTCCTCTTTATTTGGCGTTCGCAGGATGAGGAGAACGTCAAGAAGTTCAACGAAGCTGTGGGCGCCACAATCCCCGACAAGACCTCAACGCCTGCGGCCACCCCGGCTGCGGCACCTGCGGCAGCAGCGGCAGCACCAGCGGCAGCAGCGGCACCAGCGGCGGCGCAGGAGATCGATCCACAGCTCAGGGCTGTGCTGACACAGCTGCCAGGCTGCATGGAGTGGAGTGGTGCCACGTCCCGGCACCCAAGGGTGCCCTTTGTCTTTTTTTGTTTTTCTGGCCTGGGCCACTGGAGCCTGGGAAAGTGAACAACTTCCGACTGGTGGGATTGGGCGTGCTGGCACCATAGGGAGAGAGCAGATCAAGATGGTCAACCACCAATCGCTGAAAAATGGCACACGATGGCAATGATGTTTCCTGATGGTTGGCAAACGAAACAAGACGTACATACACCTTTCCGATCACGTCAATCAATGTGACCACCGCCCTCGTTGATGAAATCTATGAAGGAGGGACTTCCGAATGCAAAATATGTTTGTCCATTCGTCGGGTGTTCTTTGGGGCTACGGGATTGAATCAGATCTTGCTCGCCCACATAAATGCAAATGCAGATTGACAGCGAGGTTTCTGACGCAGCAGGGGACGCAGATGAGTCGCCGTCCTCTTCCTCTCACGGCGGTTCTCACAACAGAAGTGCTGCAGAGCCTCTTGACCGACCAGGCGGCGTGCAGTGAGATGATGGGGCACTTGCCCGACAGCCACAAGAGCCAGGACCACCGGTCCATTGTTCACGGCCGTTGCCCACCGGAGCCAAAAGATCTCTTGAACCATTCCCTACAGCGCATCACGCAGTACTCGGCATTTCTTCTACCCTTTGCCCTCAATAGAATGCGCTAAGCCGTCTCCCTTGTCATTTGAGCAAGTCACTGGCCACCCCAACCTGTCCACGTCGCCAGGAGGGACTTCAGGAGGTTTTGGCATCCCCGCAGCTGCAGCAGAGCCTCTCAGTCCTCAGCCAGGCAGGGAAGGAGGGTTGAGGCGGTGGCGCCTGAAGTCCAGAGCTGTGACCAAACCACCCGAAGTTTGGAGTGCTGCTTTGTGTCAGCTAGCGTTTGGTGATCTAATCTCGTGGAGTTGCGTGGCGAATATCATGTCCGACAGCCAGGCGACGTCCTGGATATGATGCAGTGTCATTAGCATCACATCAGGCAATGTTAATGTGTTCTTAAAAGTGCCCGCAGGTACCCTAAGTGCATGTTGCAAGTGACGGCCTTTGAAATTGCAACCACGCGCAACTTCTCGTCCATGCGAGAACGTTCTTCATGGAGGCCTCCCTTTGGGCGGAGTTGCTCAAGTTGTGTGGCCAGGGTGTTTTTTTGGAAAGCCAGACTTCATAAAAGGCATATTTTTGCCGGCTCGATCGGCCCGGATGGCGTTGCACCCCATGCCAACAGGCATTTGCCCACATGAACCAGCAAATGACAGAATTGAGAGGACATGTTTCAGCTGGCCCCATTCAGGTACAAACCCTTCTTTTTAGAAGGCCATGCCGTTTGCAGTGGCTCAGGCAAGAACAGCACCAACCACTGTAGCTAGCCAGGACAGGGTCAGTTTTCGTTCACGATGACAAGAGCGTTGCCACCACGCGCTGGCAAGAGACCTTGGTCAGAACATGCAGGCTGAGCTTCAAACCAAGCGAGCCATTCGCAAGACACTCCCCTTTGGCCACCTGCGTGGTACTTGTGGTTGGGTCATGCGCTTAGAGGATACAGCCGCCTAAGCCATGCCAGCAGCGGGGCTCCAGGTCATGAAACGGTCATGAGTTGATGCGATCTTTGGTTTACGTTGATCAAGTGTTTTTGAGAGGTCGGAGAACAACCGTGCTGCATGTTTGGTAAGAAGGGTGACATGGACTGAAACCAACAGTAGGATGCTTGGTAAAGGCAAGTCGGGCGCAGGAGCACGGGGCACGATACAATCCCTTGTGAATGGCAGTTCCATGGATGCGTTTGCAACGAGCCTGTTTGTTTGCCTTAAACTCTTCTAGTTTTTGGCGTCCATCCCAGATATAGCTGACCCGATCATGGGTACGTGGGCAACATATTCATATGGCGCTGCGGAATCTGCAAGGCAGTGCATTCGGACCAGCTGGCCTTGCTCATGAGCCACTTGGTGATGAAGGGCACAGGGGGCATCGAGTTGTTTTTGTTGCAAGGTTGTGCATTGGTGCATTTGTGTGGGACGTGCAATTGCAGATGTTGACTATTGTGTACTATTCTCAGCCTGCTGCCTGGACCGTCCCTTGTCAAGTTTAGAAGGGCTGCAGCGTTGCTATGCGTGAAGTTGGAGAGCAACGGAGCAGCGAACAGCCAATAACTGCTACAATGTCAAAGGATGTTGTAAACGGCGCAGGTCTTTTGGATGTGTTAGAGGTTGTGAGGTTGTGAGATGTGGCGAGAGGGGGGAATCAAAGTACTTTGAAACGGCCGACGATTCAACTGATGCAATACAGAAAAGGCCTCTTTTTTCATGTATTTTGCACTTGCCTGCCTCAGCCCCTTTGATATCCCTGGCTGCATTCCATTCTGGCAGCAACAGCAAGAACTACTATAGTTTGGAAGGGGTTGAGGACGTATTCCAGAGATGTCACAAGCAACTGTTCGTGCAGTGGCTGTGAGCAGTGGCTCAACCTTCTGAATTCCCCAGGAGCTTTACATCATACAGCCAGTCTCGAGGCTTGGTCAGAAGGGAACAAAAAGCCGGGTGAAAGCAGCTTGTTTGTTCGATTGCATGGCCTTGCAAGGCATCTTCTTGCGTTCTTCTTCGTCGCATCGTTCGCATTGCGTTTGAGGCTCTCTTGGCTTGGACCCGTCCGTGCTGGCGAATGCGGAGCCGGGATCTGATGCTTTGGAGCTGCTGTGCAAGGCAATGGAGGCTGGAGAACTCCGTCGCACGGGGACAATCGCGCAAACATACCGTCCAGCAGCCCAAAGCTAAATCGTGAGCTCCGACCGGATGGAACAAGTGTCGGACATGCATTTGCAGGCCATGCCCAAAGCAGCACCTAAAACCAAAGCCTTCCCCAAAGACAACATTGGAAATTGAAAGGGGATTCTCTGAAGCAGCTAGTTAACGCGACCTTCCAAATGCCACATATGCTTCCTGGAAGTTTTGAGACCACAATCAGGGCCGATGAACAGTCTTGAAACAATGCGTGTTTTGGTATTCCTTAGGGGCGACTGTTGGTAATTCCCCTCGTCAAGGAGAATTAGCGAAGGAAACTTGTTTACAACCAAGGACTCGTCCCAGCTAGATAGCGCAGTGGGGACATGCCAATTGAAACAGAATTGTGAATGCAAGCATTATGTGCCCTTTGCGGTGACTCTGTTTGCTGGCTGCATGAATAACTTTATTATGTGCGTGGTTCAGACGCGAGGTTGAAGCCCAAAGTGATGCCGACAGAACCTAAGCGATGATTGCAAAATGAAAGGATGGAACTCCATGCAGCCTAGAAGGGATCAAGCACCACTGGCGGTTGTTTGCCACACCCTGGAGGCCAAGTTCAAGGAGTGAGCAGGCCATCTAGAAACGGACAGAGAATCCATGCAGAGACGGACTCGCGCAAAAGTAAAAGAGCTGATAGAAGTCATGTCACTTGTGCAGTTGCAGTAAGTGAACGCGTCTTGATTCAAGTCTTCCTTGCATCACTTTCTGCATTCGTGCCGCTTTGCTGCCAAGGCACCTCGAGAAATGAGGCATGCCGCATTTGCTGAATTGTGTTGAGATATGCGGTTTCCTTTGGGCAAACGTTGATTCTGTCCATGGCGCCCACACGGCTCATGCATCCAACGTCTTCCGATGTTGTAAGCATCAATGAGCTTACTTGTGCAAAGCTTGAAGCATGAGCCAAACAGTGCGACGGCCACACGTGTCACTCAAAGCTATTTCGGCTTAAGCCAGGGGCTGTGTGGGGGGGGGGCAGCGGCAGAGGAGAGAGTGGAAGCTGTCGGCACCGAAATCACTGCGATTCAGCCAAGATTAACCCTTTGGTTGGTGCAATTTGGAAGGGGCCTTCCGTTTGTTGACTGAGAAGTGGCCGCAAGTATGGTGCAGTCATGAATCTACTACTGCTGTTTTCGACCCTACCTGCAGCATATGTATGTACACAAAGGGATAGATTTGTATGTATATATGTATATACACATATGAAGGGCTGCCGCCCTGTTCCGCCGGCCCCAATGGGGAAATGGATGGTCTGTTGATGGGTTCTCCTCAGCCTTCTTCAGCTTTTTCTTGTGGTTTTCTTCGACAGTGCCTAGTGGAACAATCGAATCCCACAACAAGATGAGGATGACGACGACGATGATGATGGTGTTGGTGATCATGATGCTGATGAGGATCATGATGATGACGACAGGGGCGATGATGTTGTTGATGATGGTGATGAGGATGATGAATGGTTCCCAACATGAGTATACTATATTGTGTTATGTCTCTCTCTGTCTTGCTCTTTCTGTTTCTCTCTGTTTATCACTATCTCTCTCTCTCTCTCTCTTTTCTCTCCGTCTCTCTCTCTCTCTCTTTCTCTCTCTCTCTCTCTCTCCCTCTCTCTCTCTTCTCTCTCGCTCGCTCGCTCGCTCGCTCGCTCTCTCTCTCTCTCTCTCTCTCTCTCTCTCTCTGTGTACGCCACAAAAGCATGGCCAAATGCACTCAGGTGTGGCCTGCAGCATTTGGAACATTCTTGGCGAGCGCAAGTTTCTTGAGGTTCGATTGTCGGCGATTGTCTGGAATTCATCACAAGCTTTGAAGCGCATTCGATCTCCAAGAGGCCAAGAACCTTGAACAAAGTAACTATCGTTGCGCCACGTTTGCCAATGCAAACCTCCAATGATTGTGTGTCTTGACCTTCTCGCTGACAATGGCCCCGAATGGTTGCAGTTTGCATGCAGGGGGCCTGCACAGTCTCTTGGTAGGTTTATGAGGGTCGCTGTAGTTCTCTTCACATCTTGCATTGGCCAAACAGATGTCTCTGGTCCTGCAGAAGTTCTTGATCAACAGCTTTGGCCGGGGCATCTGTTGGCCAAACAAGAGCACTTCTCTTTCTCTGAGGGTCACTGGGTGCGTAGCTTATTCATTTACCATTTACTTCTATTTGCTTACGTATATACATACACAGACACATGTATGTGTTTGATACGCACAAACCTTAGCGTGTTTCTCATCCTCAGTCACTGAGGCATCTAGAGTATCTTGAGTGCAGGATTGTTCCACCGCCCGTGGCACTAGGCGAGTGTGGCCTGTTGTCTTGCTCCCGGCAGGATGGAGGTCCAGGTGAACACGCTGGCCGGCGAACTTTGCTGCCTCCAGGGCGACAAAGCCTGGCGCGCCCTGGATGTGAAGACAGCCCTGCAGGCGGGCCGTGTCCAGAAAACCTGGCTGGTTCGGCGCTGCTTGGTCCATGCGCAGAAGAATTGTGAAGGGCGCCTTCCGACCGATCGCGCAACGACGCTGACTGTCCTTGGCCGGATCACATGATGCCGTAATTTTGCTGGTAGTTAGCCGGCCAGCGCCACACTCCTTCGACCTGAACAAACGTTGATTTGCAAGGGCCGTGACATCCCGCCGACTTTCGGCCTGTTCGGGCATTTGCTATACTCCCCTCCACACAGACTCTCATCGCCATGTGACCAGTCATGCCGTCCAACCGGCAAGCATGATTGCCAGGCATGTGACATCGGGCACAAGGTATTGCCCTTGAGCGCTCTAGCATGCAAAGAGCAATAACTAATTATATACTGGTCCTAACGATCTTGTTTCGGAGCAGTGTACGCAATCTGGGGAAGGTGCGAATTTGCATATTTGCGCAGGTCCAAGCAAAAGTCTGCACCTCAGAATCTCGGTTTGTGAGAATCCCAGCCGCTCATGCTACAGCTGCAAGGGTTCGAGGGATATGTTGACGTATTGTTGGTGGACACTGCATTTGTCCACTTGAGAAGGCCGCGATGGGTACTCATAGGTGAAAAAGCAAATTGCAGTGTACAGCGGAAGGTTCCATTGCAAGCTGAGATGCGGCGCTGTTGATCAGGTTCCCATCGCGGAGCAGAGGCAAGTGGGAAGCCGTGTGCTTGGGCTGAGGAGGGCGCATTCCAACATGAGAAGTTCAGGACGTTCGGGTGGAAACAGCTGGTCCATTTCGGCACGGTCCCATTGGGATGTTGTGCCTATGTGTGTGTGTGTGTGCGTTCTATGTTTAATTAAAGTATGCATAATACGATGCATACTTTTGTTAATACATAAAAACAAACAAAAAACATTCACGGTCTTTACCTTTGTCCTTGCCAGGCTGCTGCTGGGCTGCCGAGAGCTCCAGGACGAGGATCTCCTCGCCTCGCTGGAGCTGGACGCGCAGCGCGGCCTCGCTCTCACCTTGGTCCGCCGCTCCGCGGCGCACGCGGAGCTGCTGCGCCTGGTGCGCAGCGGCCGCTCGGGTTCGACGCCCGCCGTTGTTCCCGAAGAATATGTTGGCGGGTGCGAGAGGTAGGGAATGACTGAGCGAGTATATAGGGCTTTTTCGGGTTCAATGTTGGTTCTAGGTAGAATAGGGTAGGTTTAGGATGGGGAGGTTTAGCAGAGGTTTGGGGCTGGCAGGTTAAGGAATTTTGTTTGAATGAACCAGTTTTGGGATTCCCGAATGAAGGAGCCCAAATCGGATGGATGGTATTTATTGGGGTCATGTCAACTCATTTTCTGCTGAGAACCAGCAAGAAAGATCTGAATCTTGAATCTTGTTGATACGCCCCGCCATCACCCCAGAAATCCACAACCATCCTCCCCCTGCTGCAAGGATTGCTGATTAAGATGTTCGACAATACTAGAGCCACCTTGACTCATCAGGTTGAACGGCGAGGTTGGAGATGGTTGGAGGCTCTTCTCGTCGTATGCCTCAATGCAAACAGCATTGATTTGCTTTGTGCCACGTGTAACTTTGAATGTACTGCAGTGGCTGCGTTCTTGCAGCGGCATGTCAAACTGAAGGTGCTTATGATTGACTAGTCGTGGTCGTAGTGTTGCAGTCCGGGGTGATCCGACAAAGCTGCGGGCCCCTTCAACTTGTCCTGTGGTCCTGTGTCGAAAGTTCGGCCCAAAAAAGCCGGCGCCGCCCGTCAAGTCTATAACAATGGCTTGGAGCATTTTTCCGCTCGCGAGGCACGCAGACCTTGAGCCGCAAGTGGCTTGCGCGTATGCCGGAGCTGGTGCGTGGCTTTGCAAACTTGGGGTTGGGGCGGGGGGCGGGGTGTCTGGTGTGTCCGATTCATGATCGTCCCATAGGCCAGAAGGCAACTCGTGAAACACAGACCAGCCAAGACTGCATGAAAAGGTGCCGCTGTGTGTGTGTACAATTGTGTACATGTGTGTGTGTGTGAGTGCAGGCATAATCCCGGTGCTTTTGCAGGTGCCGTGTGCTCTCGATGAAGTGAATGTCCTTCTTTTGCAGCAGGCTTGTTGGCTGATGCGATCTTGCATTTTTAACCCCGGGAAAAGGGTTGGATGCAAACCGTTAGCAAGAAGCGAACCGTTAGCAAACCATTCGCCTCTTTGGGAGCGGTTGTAATATCGATAGTCCATCGTTAATGAGGACGCATAGCCAGGATATTGGTTGCCTTCCTTTCCTCAAGTGGGCAAAAGACGGATGTACCACACACAAGGCCACTAGGCCATTTCATGTTTTACCCTGCTGTCAGCTTTCTGAATTGAGAGGTTTGCCACTGATGGAAAGCATGGAAGACTGGTAGATGAAGATGACCAGCAGCTTCTTATACGCGAATCTGCGTGTACGCATGCACACATGCACGCACACATGCAAGATATAGTGTTCGGCAAGCACGTCTTTGGAGCACATCCCGAGCAAAGTCTTCATATGTCAGGTTTGAAAGGGACAAGAACAGCTGCTCTGGAATCAAGTGGGTTCGACGTTTGCTCAAATGGCTAGCTGCACACCCTTCGTAATCCCTCAAGGTTTATGTGGTTCTCTATAAGCCCTTTTGAAGCTGATTGCGAAGTCAGTCAGTCCCTCGTCAAATCCGCAAAGCTGCATCTCTGGGGGTTAGACACTGTTGGACCTATGTTCCATCCAACGGGTCAAACAAGTGTCCAAGCTCAGAGATACACCTGAGCTGCTGGAAGCTTGTGAGCGTTGTCCACTTACCGAACCTCCCGTGTTTCAGTGGCTGTCAGCTGTTTCGTGGCCCCGTGTCGCTCAAGGCGGGGATTGCGAGATCGTCCGGGAGGCGGGGCTTGTCAGAAAGGAACATGGACCTTGGCTCGCAACTCTTTGGCCCAAATCCCAGCTTTTAAAACTGTTGGGCAAGTCCGAAGTACAAAAGTTAAAGTCATCTAACGGCAAAGAGTAGCTTCTGGGGTAGGCTTAGGATACATTTTACATTTTACCAGTGACTCAAATTGAAGCAAGCAATAAAACATACATTCTATCACTGGCCCGAACTCTAGTCATGGGTTGATTTTTTCCAGTTTCAGTTGTTCCGGTCCAGTCAGCGTGCCCTTTGCCATGCCGCCAGCATCAAGCCCTTTGCACGCAGGTGTTAAAGCGGGATGGGGTGGCGCTGCAGCACGCCACGGAGGAGCTCCGCAGTAGCCCCGCGCCGCTCGGAATGACTGGATCAGCGAACGTGGAAACATCACATGGCCGTGGTTCAAAACCAAAGGCACCACTTTGGGATAGGTGCACCACCTGGTGAGCTGCCTTGAACACACCTCTTGGAGATGATTTGGGCCAGTGGCTCACTGATGTTCACTGGACCATGCTGCGTTTGCACATTTCATTCTCTGTCACGCAGCCTCCGAGGAGGGTTATCCTCCAGCATCTTCTAGCTATCAGCATCTTCTAGCTATTCCGGCGTGGCCTCTAGTGGCGAAGTCTGACACAAGCAATTCCCCGTGCTTGACAATGCATGCCCTTGGGAATCCACTGAGGCCGCACTTGGGCACACATAAAATCAATCCTCACGAGTGTCTAAAGAACATTAGCACACACACACAAACGCACACGCGCACATCACAGCACGCACAGTAATTCCTTCTACAATGAACCAATCGCCCCTGCAACCCAGAGCGCAAACACACCCAACAAGCCCCAACGAATTGCAGTCTTCGCCCGAAACCTCCCCAAGCAGGCACATGACACACACACACACACACAGATGGCAATTCTCTGCAACCGGCAACAGAAACTTCATACGATGTCCAACTTTTTCTTCTCGGGATCAAGCCATTTACGCTTTCTGAGCCTTGGTCATTCAACCCTCAACCTGGGATGGAACTCTCGACCATCATCCTTTTCATGTGCACATGTTCCACCGCTTGAAAACGGGATCCAAGTAAAGGATCCACATGGTGATCTCGTTTTAGGCCCAAGAAACCAATTCAAGAAGATACGGGACATTTACTTAAAAATAAAAGGACGTGGCAAGCTTCTGCTGATATTGCCACCGCACGCATAATCAGTGCAATCTTCAAGCTGGACCTTGGAGAATCGTCCAATAAATCAAATTTTCAATACCGCCAGAATCGTGTAGAATGTCCATGGCATCAACAAATGCAGACAGAACAGATCTGAATCTCTTCAAATTGTTTGAGTGACATAATCTGCTCATCAATTGTCTAAATGAAAGACTGTCGCCTGAGCCAATCGCTGAGGATGGTGCTGGAGGCGGTGCACCGCTCCGGTTTCGCCCTGGAGTTCGCAGCGGAGCACCTCAGGGAGGACCGCAGCTTCGTGCTGCAGGCGGTGCAGGCAAGGTGAAACGCCACGAAGGATCCATACCTTTAGCTCAAAAAGATGGGGTGCTCCCCCCAAAGCAGGTGTATACATGTGTGTATAGTATTATATATATATATATGTATATATGTATATATGATGTGTATATATATATATACACGTGTTTTTCGCTTTGGTGCTCCTTTCCAGGATTTCCCAAAATGGAGAACCGCCAATAAAGACCTCCCCGCCTTCCCCCACGCAAAAGCGAAACATGTGAAATCCTTGGCGAAAGAACGGAGCTCACTGCGTCACAGCGACCTGGCGCCCAAAAAGCGACAGAGCCAACGATCAAAACGCAGCGTGGCAGGCGTGCGGAAATCAAACCATGCATTCGCTGCACCAGAAGCGCTGCAGAGTTGAATGCAAGGATCCTCTTCTTTTTGGAGAGCGGCAGCCATCGAAAGTCACCCGCTCCCATACAACGTGTAATCGAAGCCAAGGAATCTAGGACGTGTCTATACGTGTCTTTTGGAGTGGCTTGGATTCCAAAACAAGGGGATGTGCAGCTCGTCATTTTGGGGGTGGCGGACTAAAATGGACTAAACATGGTAGCCAAAACTCCGCAAAAGGCATGCTAATTCTCACTAAAGCTCAAGACCCCTGATCTTGCACTATAGGGATCGGGGGGGGAGCATGTGCAATCACTTCCTGTGGTCAATGGAAGCTGGACAGTGGATATTCTGGCAACCTCACACAACTAATGCACATGCCATCAACTAAATATGGCCACAACCTCCCCAGGGACCCATTCTCCGAAGTCTGCCAGTAAAACAAGCTAGTAGCAAATAAGCCAGCAGCGACCAATCATATCAAAAGACGCTACCGACATGACATGAAGACAAACTCGTTGACCAACTGCGGCGCACGCTGCAGGCCAACGGCTTTGCACTGGCCCGAGCCTCTCCACGTCTCCGCGGAGATCCGGAGGTGGTAAAGGCGGCTATCCGGGAGGAAGGCGGGAGCAATGCGAGTGACACATGTGGAGTCGGTGCGATTGATGAATTTCATTAAAGCCATGCACTGTTCGGGTGGCTTCTTTCCTTTCGGACCTTTGAGACCACCCACAACATGCACGCCGTTACGTTGTTAGGGCTGTGTTTCACAGTTGGTGTGACCCTTAATCTGGGTCCCAGAGCTTCGGGCTCTTTCTTGTCAAAAGGAGCGTTACCCTGCGAAGCTTCCTCGTGACTTCCGCATGAGCCGCCACGTTTTCTGGCGGTTTCCCGGGGGGGGGTTGTGCACTTTCAGGAAACATTGCCAAGCGAATGCTTGCTGATGGAATGATATTCCTTGCTGATTGCGCAAAGGCCAGGACATGCACGCGCCTCTGGCGGGAAGCAAGAGCAATCAAGCCAAGATACGCAGAGCTCAAGCTGCCTTTGGGCCTACGACAGCCAAAGCGTGTTTCCTGATTTTCGCATGCATATACTGTGCGCTTTTTCAGCTGGTGGTTGTCTTCGACCTTCCTGACTCACATGTTTGGCTGATTTTTGATTTCTTTTGGTGGATGTTCTTGGAGAGTAGCCTTTTATACAGGAAATTGGCAGGTAACGAGGCCACGAGGAACAAACATACAGCCTACACGACTATCCTTAGATACTCTCCGCCCAGAATTTGACTTGGATTTGATACAGCGGGGCTTGAATTCTTCGGACATGATGTTTGAGTCTTCGAATTATGTTTTTTGACATTGGTTCCAGCAAGCATATAGGGCAGCGCCTGCATAGCGCCTTACCCTGCCTTGTGGGTGAGACGCTAGTGTCTGCATTTGGTGTTCGCGACGGGTATCAACGGTGGTCTTGCAGGAGAGCTGTTTTTTTCAGCGGTGCCTTGGCTAAGTTGCATTGCGCCTGATTGTGCACGACCGCGGCTGCAGTTCCTGTTTCGTTTGGAACAGTAGGGGGTGCTACTTGCCAGGCGCAGCTTTCGAATATGCCGCCGACGATTTGAAGGGCGACCCAGACTTCGCCCTTGAGGTCGTCTCCGCAGGTGGTCCAGGACAGCTTCCGGTGGGGACTATTGCTCCCCCCCCCCCGCAAGAGCAAACAACTCGGAAACATGCAGCTGGAGAACACAGCTGCGTTCGTTGTGCGCTGTGTGTTGCGTTTGCGGCTGGAAACATGCCAGTATTTCAATCTGGGGAATTTTCTGTGGTTCCCCCGTAATTAGCTTTTCCTGGTGCAAAATTCGATCACCTCGACTGAAGGCAGATTCAGAGTAGAAGCGTTCGTGGCACAAACGACACCAGCTCGCTGTCCAAAAAATCCTTGGCCGGTCGCTTTGCATGTGCCATGAAGTTAGCTTCGGATGCATCCGGAACAAAATAGGCGATCTGCCTACTAAAAGGGAGAAAACCCCATGATTACCACATAATTTCGGACCATTCCGAAGTTGGTAGGATTTTGATTCTACCGGCTTTGGATCACACACATCAGGGGCTATGGAGCACATCGCTGCGGATCTTTGGGAAGACCCCCACTTTGTGCTACGCGCCGTGCAGCGCTCGGCAGCTGCACTGGAGCAGGCGGTGGAGATCAAGGCGCGCTTGGCCTGTCGAGAAGGTCTCTCGTGGGTTGCTGATGACTGGTGGTTTTAGAGGCTACCCTTTTCAGATTAGTTGAACAGGAAGCTGAAAGGAACGTACATGTCCGGTCAACTTGTTTACATACCTGTGTGATGGTGCCTAGCGCATGCAGGGCATGCAGACGGCGCAAATGTACCAAGAGCGGCTAGAAGAGAGCACTGTATGAAGTCACTGAGCATGAAAGAGCGCGATTTTAGGCCTGGCAGAAGAATAAAGGATCGGAGATTGGCTTAGCAATTTGCTCAACCCGAGATTTCGCGTGGTGGAAGGCCAGGTTCTGCATTTGAGAAGTTCTGCGTTTGAAACCTCATCGCTGGAGGAAATGCAAACGTGAGTCCAGACATCGTCACGGAAAAGTGTTCTGGAATGTTCCCCCATTCTTTCCAGGGATCCTTTTTTAGAGGGGAAACATCTGATGTTGGAAACCTTGCTTTAAAAGAAAGATAAAAACGCGGTCTTTGACCAATCAGCGTGGTGGTTTCCAATTCTCAGTTGTCCAAAGCCAACCTTTCAACCTTTTGGTTTCCCCCCTTTTGGTCCATTTTTAGTAAAGGTCCCCAAAAGGTTTAGCCAAATGGTTTAACCAAATGGTTAGACCAAAAGGTTAAACCAAAAGGTTAAACCAAAAGGTAAACCAAAAGGTAAACCAAAAGGTAAACCAAAAGGTAAACCAAAAGGTTAGACCAAAAGGTTAAACCAAAAGGCAAACCAAAAGACAACTGAAACTTTTTTCCCGGGTCTTTTGGGCAACTGAGACTTCGCTGGCGGCTTTTGCAGGCGGAGCCCACCTTCGTTCTGGAGGCTGTGACGTGGAGCCCTGCGGCGCTCGGCTACGCAGCAGCTGACGCTCGGGAGATTGGGCAGGTCTCGGGTTCCCTTGACTCCGAAGTGTGCCCATGTGGCTGTGGGCGTTTTTGTTTTTGTTTTTCCCCGACTTGGTGCCTTTGCTCTGTGGTTTCAAAGGGAAAACACAAGGAAGCCCACCATTTTTTGGGGGGCTCCCCGTTTTCACAGCCATGTGCCTTTGCAATTGGTTGACCACTTGCCCCGGCGCACGGCCTAGGACCTGCTAGAGGATAAGGGATTCCTGCTGGCCGCGGTGGCCAGGCATCCTGCCTGCCTGGCACAGGTGCCGCAGGAGCCCGGCTTCGTGCTGGAGGAGGGGTGTCAAGCCCCTGCTGAGTTTGGGGACTGTTTGAAGCACCAGCCTCACCCCCCCGCGGTTGTGAAACACGAAAGAGCAATAAGCTGCAATTTTGGGGGGTCCCCCACTCCCCCCCACCCCAGGGACGGGGATTGTTTGGGGTGTTGCTGGTGACGTGTAGTTGAATGGCGGTGGGGCGCTCTGGATACTTCTGCAACGGTGAGTTCATTCATGGTGTGGACAGGTTCAACACCTTGTAGTTTCTATTTTGGCCAGAGTATGTTGTGTTTTGAGTATTTCTCCTTTGTGTTCTTTAGGTGCATGTGTCAGGCTGCCGTGGTATTTGTTGATGTTTGATGCCCTTGCGTGCGTGTGGTGGGTTGTTGGGTTGTATTGGCCCTTCCCGCTGATCCTGTGTGTGTGTGTGTGCGTTGCCTGCGGCGCTGCCAGCGGTTTTCTTCAACGTATCCTTATTTGGCGCTTTGGTTGGGTGCCTTCAAACAGGGACTATGTTGAGTCCCTTCACCTAAAACCATGTTCCCCCATGTGTGCCGCTTGGTAAAATTATATACATTTATGCTATGACTTTGTTTGCCGGTTTGGGGATGTGTCAGTTGGGGCCAGGTCCCTTGCTAAAACCAGCTTCTGGGTTTTGCTGCTTTATAGGTGAGACAACGAAGATGGGCAACATCGTAGCAAGACCAATCACCACTTCCAACACAATTCAATTTGTCCATTCGAGACGTGACCTCAAAAGCTCATCCCCGTCTCCAAAGTCATACAGGAGCTGCCTTCTGCAAAGCAGCGGCTTCTTGTTGCAACGCGACATTCGCTCTAAGATTCCGAATGCTCAATCACCCGAAAACCTGAGCCAATATGTTTTTTGTTTCTGCGTCTCAACTCGTAAAGTATGCGATGTTGCGGGCAGGGTGTACGGTTGAGTCATCTAGTGCAATGTTTGTCCATGTCGGCAAGTCGGCAGGGTTTGACAAAGCTGTGTTGCCGGATGCTGTTTCTTGGCTCACCATGGGCTTACGATTGCTCGGCAACGTAGTTTTGACGTCATACTGTCCATAGTCCGTTGAAGTCATCATTACCCTCCCATGCCAAGATGGCATTCAGCATGGGGGCGTTGCACCACATCTCGAGCCCTGAGGCGCTGAAAGTGAATGGAGCCGCGCTTGGCTTCGTGAGCAAGTCCCTCCTCACGGACAGAGAGGGCGCAAAAATGGCTCACAGACCGGACATTCATGGAGGGCATTTGGCAGATTGTTGTCGGGATAGTTTAGGATTTCCTTGGCATGTTAACGCGGGCCGCAACTGTTCAATCACAAGGCTGTTTTATACAATAATAGAATATACTACAATACCAGCACAGCAGTGTGCGGTGTGAAGATCAGTAGGCTTCAGGAATTTTGCATCGTATGGTGCGTTGTGTTTCAAGGTTCAGCTGCTCGCTTACTAGTTTCATTCATCATTTGTTCACAAAGCCCAAAGGGAAGTTCAATTTGGACAAGTGAGATTCTCATCCCCAAAGGTTCAAAATGTGCGTTGTTAGATGTTGCCCATTACACTGTGCACCGGGCCATGGGGACAACAAAAGTGTAGGGACAGTGCAAAGTTTAAAACATGTTCGTTGCCACGCCAAAGGTATTGCGTGACACTGCTTGTTTGCACGTGGTGTACCAAGTTTCTGGAGGGACGGCACTGAGTAAAAAATCGCATTGCGTGTTGGATTAAGCATGTTTGCGGGCTGTTGGCCGTCAGTCCGCAACCCAAACTGTGTTGCAAGCTGCTAAGCTGTCAATGATTTTCCTGCTCCTTTTCTGAATTTGTGCTTCAGGCATCCGCAAGTCGGCATGCCACTTAGACTGCTCAGCTATGACTCGTGTTTCGGAAATGCCTGCGCCCAAGTAGCATGCCCAAATTGGCCACAAAGCTCGGCCAATTGCTGTGAACTCTGCCAGCCAGTCAGCACTTGCTTTGCAGGATTTCTTGAGCATCACACTCGGCCGCATAGAACGTTTGCCGCAATATGGTCCATTGCAAGCGTTACCAGGAGATACAGCAACACCCCATTGGAAGCCCCCCCCTCCAAAGGGAAGCCGCGTTTTGAGCCACATGACGTGGCTTCAGGAGAAGACCTTTGCCATGCAGGCGTTGGCGGCAGCCGGCCGCGAGGCTTTGGGCAAGATGGCGGAGGCCGGAGCCGGGGAAGGCCGGTCAAGACCTTGCAGCCGGAATGACCTTGCTGGTGCGATAGGCAGGGAATGAGTTGGAATGATCCCCATAAACCATCCAACTGGTGGTTTCATTTAGGGGAATGCCCAGGTTCATTCCCTCATTCCCTACCGAGCACCAGCAAGTGACTGACTTTGCGCTCTAAGGACCCTCTTCAGTCCAGGTGTCTCTCATGTCAAGATTGGCTTTGATGCATCAACCCTCATCAGCTGTGCCCCGTAAGCTGCTGGTGTCTTCATTTGCTCAGGCTTGCAGTTGTAGACAATGCACAGTACTCCCTCTCCACTGTGGGGTGTTTTGTCCTTCGCGGCCTTTCTGGGGACCGCACGTGTCAGAGCGGAAGTTCCAACCCTGGCGTGGATGAAACACGCACGCCATTGGCCAGGAAACATGGGAAGGCAATAGCTTGTGACAGGGTTCCAAGCCAATTTGAAGCATGGATCATCTTATCATAATCGGGGGAAGCAGTCGGGGTGTCAGCTGCTCAGCACAACTCTATGATTGCGATTCTCCTTGCTTTTCGCCGTTGGTAGACTTCCAGGACACATGACATGCTGAACAGGGGCATAAGCCACAATGACTGTTCTTGTGCTACGCGTTCGCCTCCCCCACAGTCAATATCCCCACGCAAACATTCGGGGCATGTGCAGTTCACTGCTCCACGCGACATGCTATCCTGAATGGGGGTAGCAGCCCCTCATAGCGATTTGTATGCGTCCATTTCTATGGGCGCATTGGCCTGCTGGCCAGTTTCGTCGTGCGTTTAGCTGATACAGGCGTTGGTCTTGCGCTTGAGGACTTCTGGCAAGAGCGGCATTTCGCCCTCGCCGCCTTGCGCTGCGATGAGGGCTCCATTGGCCGAGTGCCAAAGAAATTTTGGACAGACCGAGAGTTTGTGCTGGAAGCCTCCCGCTTCCAGCCGGCCGTCTTGAACATGGTGGAGCCAGAGTGGTTGAAGGACCAAATCGTTTTCAGAGAGTCAGCTCAGCTTTTTTTCTGAAAAGTGCACAGGATGCACAGGCCATGCGCAAGCGCACTGGAACAGCATACATGAGATGATGTTTTGTAGTAAAGTTTATAGACATCGGCAATGTCCAAAAACACTCCAGGATTCCAATGAGTGTGTTTCCCAAGGTCAGTAGAATTCCTATCGCCCCACCCGGAGGAGCAGAAGTTTATCTTGAAGGCCCTGCAGAGGAATGCCTGCTGCATTCGCTTCGTCTCTGAGGACTTGTTCCAAAATCGGAGCTTCCTCTTGCAGGCCATGGAGGCGAATGGCTCGGTGCTGAAGCATTTGCCGGAGGTGGTCCGGGGAGATGGCAGCCTGGTCTTGGCGGCCGTTCCGCAGAGCGGCTTTATCCTGGGATTCGCTGCAGACGAGCTGCGCTTCAGTAAGGACTTCATCTTGCAAGCCGTCAAAGTGAACGGCTACTCGCTGTTGGGCACTCCCGATCCGCTGAGAGCAGACCGTGACATCGTGCTGGCAGCTGTCAAGCAGAACGGGCTTTGTCTTGAGTATGCAGCGCCGGAGCTGAGGGCAGACACGACCATCGATCCTGGGATGTTAAGTGGTGTCAGCCTGGGCCAATCCCCTTTGTCCCCAACTGGCTCGGAAGGCCCCTACTCCTCTCGTGCCGGCATAACAGGCCCCCAACTGAGTGGATGCAGAACAGGCTGTAGATAGGATGTTTCGGAGGTGATTGGGTTAGGATCCAAGTTGTGCCCTACATCAACGATTCCTCGAACATCAGGTTGACAAACGTTTGTGTCCGAACCAATTGGACCTCCCCAGCCACCACTCAGACAACTCATTCGTCGAGCTCCCTTTCAATCCCAGCTTGGGCGGAAATTCCAGGTTTGAGATGTCCTCTTCAGATCAAATGGTCAAATTCATTTCGTATGGAAGATGTCAGATGCTGAGATGAATTGGGATGGATGAATCGCTTCCTCCTAATTTTGCAGCCCCTCAAATGATAACTATGTCCGTCTGAGGGCGATAACGGGGTCGGCTCCGCCCCGGCCCTCATCTAAAAGGGGGCCTGCCGTTTGTGGGGCACAAGAACCGTCAGTCAAATCGCAGATTAAGTAGGAATTCAAATGAAATCCTCCAAGGCATGTTTGTTGGGCTTGACACTTCATAGTTGAAGTTCGCAGTCGAAATCGCAACTCAATGTATTAGTTTACACGCATAATTTAGATTGATTCTTCGAGAGCCCCCTAATATGAGTGCAGTTTGGGTTGAGAGAAATTTGGTGGTTACAATTAGTGAATAACTATTGCCAAATCGTTGTCTAGGATTGGGGATTCGGTGCGGAAAAGCTGTTGGGGCAAATTGCTGAGTCATTTGCAGTGGGCTATCTTGGCCAGTTAGCTGAGGCACTGGCAGCCATCGCAACAGACCCTCAGCCGCTGATGCACGTAGCTGAACCTCTTTGGTCTGACCAAGACTTCGTGCGTCAGGCAATCCGCATACACGGCTGTGCCATGCGTCACGCGGAGGCTTTGATCTTATCATTAGTTTTGAATGACTTTCGTGCATTTGACCTTTTCCTTGTACGCCGGGATCGGCTAATTTGGACCAAATCCTTGGGAGGTGGCAGGCATGTGTTTGTTGAAAAGGGGTTCAACTTTGAAGCTGGGGGTCAGAAGCTGCTCGAAGCCAGGGTTAGAGGATAGCCAGACTTTTGGTTCAATCTTTTCAGCTAGTTGCTTCATTTGGCCACCCTTGCAAGCTGTCAGTTGCCACGAATCCACCCAGAAAGAGTTAGAAGCTGAGTCGCAGAGCCAAGGATGAGCAGCTAAGAAGGAATCGTGGCTTCATGCTTTCCTCCTGCGAACTGAACCCGGAAACCATTTGCTATGCTCACTCTGACCTGCAAAGCGAGCGGGGCTTCCTCATCGAATGCTTGGCCATCAATCCAAATGCTTTGCACTTCGTGCCTGCCGCTATGCGCATCGACGTGGCCTTTGCGGCCGCGGCAAAGGCACACGTGACGCCGGAAGAAGGGGCACGGCTGCCATCCCCGTCATGGTGAGGAAAAAGATGGCGAGAGCCACGGGCTCGGCGGGTTTGTACCATCTCAGTTGTTCAAAGCGAATCGACCTCTTGCCCTTTTGGGTTCCCATGTTGGTCCATATTTCGTGATGGTCCCAAAAGGTTGACCATGTTAGCCTTTTATTTCTGGGTCCTTTCGGCAACTGAGTCACTGCTCCCGCATGGATCTGCCGTTTCAGCCTGACAGGTGCAGAGCCACTCGCTTAAGACCCATGAGCGAGACCCGAACGCAAGAGAACACTGTGCATGAGGATCAAGCCCCTCCTTCCAAATTCCGCGCACCAGTCCCACCTTTTGCGCTACCTTAAGCTGCAATTCTACCCAAGTTTTTCCTCAAGCTCGAAGGACAATGAGGAGGGACTTGAGACCTTTGCAAGGCTGTTGTCCGATACTTGACTTCAAACACAGCGTATCAAAACACATGAAACGTGTTGATTGGCAGTTGGGTCGTTGGAATTTGTTGGCTTGGAATACATTATGCATCCTGTTTCAAGTCCGTGCAACTCATTCCACCTTCACAATCGCAACGCGGCAACGCCGCGCCAACTTTGCAGACAGCCACTTGACAGCGGCAAGTTGACAATCAAGTTGGGCGTTTGAGGTGCACTTGACCGTTTGAGTGGCGATAGAATTTCGGACCAAGCCATTGCAGTTTTGAGGCTCTGGGGGTCTCGGGTTGCATGTTGCAGATGGAGTTTGCTATGTTCGCATGGGTCTTGCTGGCGAGCCCCATCTTGGGAAGCTCAATGGCTCCCATCTGCCACGGATTCGGAGGCATCGGAGATGGGTGCGCCGCAGCCAAACCTGGAGATTCGGGCAAAAGCAGCGGAATCTCACTGGGCGACACCACCTTGGCAGTGAAAGTGAGTGTAGCTTGCCTCTCAGGTGACCTTTTTTGGCTCATGGAAAAAATGTTAAAGAATGCACAATGTTATCTAACATGCTGATGTTCTGGTTGCCGGGTGCATGTGGTGAAGATTTTTTAGCACGGCCTAGGTACCCGGATGCTTTTCAAAGCCGTGCTGGCTACGCAACATCAGGGTTGGAGTGGACAGCAGCAACTCGGTAAGCAGCTCTGCGAAAGTTGGTGTCTACCTGTCTGATGGAAGGCTGGTGGCCTATTCTCAAGACATTCAGGTGCCTACATCTTTTCCAGCTGATCAATGGCTGTCGTTTCCATTCCAGGGCTACATGGAGTTGCATACCACTTCCGACCAGGACTACGTGTGGCTTGTGGTCAACACGGCCGACAGCGTGAACCTGACCTACGAGAAGGCCTCGGCTGATGAGGCGACCAGAACCGTCTCTGAGCTTTTTGCATCCGCATTTGTGGCGGTGCGCATTTGGGATGCAGAACCTGGCCACAGTCAGTGGGAGGGATCCTTCCGCAACTTGAGGATGCAAGTGGACGTGGGGGACGTGCCCGTTCGATTGTAGCGGCTGCATCCTCCGTACTTAGGGCGGTTGCGGTCATTTCGGTCTGGCTTTAGTTTTGGCTCTGAGCATGCAGCCAGCTCAGCCGCATGCATAGGGCATAGGTGCTATTTGTAGAGGTTTCAGTAACAAGCACTGATTTCCTCTCATGCTAGCTGTCGTGCTGACGTTTGTCTTCGCAAATGAAAACGCGGATTGACTCATTCTTCAAGATGCAGATTAAATGTCACGAAGCTTTCAGACGGCTGCACCGCGCAGTTGCTGCCATTGCGCAGTGGCACGCGCTTTTCCCCTCGGTCTCATCCGGTCTCATTACTGCCAGTGAGCAGATCTGAGATTGGCGACCGACTGTTCAACTGCTGCAGGGAAGCTTGAGCTTTTCCAGCCTTGCAGTAGCCTTGTAAACAAAATCGGCATAGCTCACTTCGCGTTTCAATCGGATTGCAGAGCAATTCAGGCATAGGCTTGAGTGACCAAAACAATGCGACTGCAGGGGCCTTCATACGCCATGTGCTTGGCATCAGGTTGCTGAGGTCTTTGATGCAAGTCTGATGCCATTTGAATGATCTTAATGTGTGTTGTTCTTGAATCGTGTACAACTCATGTCACCTTCACAATCGCAATGCAGCCTTGAGCATGTTTTAAAACAATTGGCAGCTGCAAAATGATGCAGATTGCATCAGGTTTCTCCCATAAAGTTTGAAGTACACATGTGGATGGCAGGGTTTGGGACCAAGCCATCGCACCTCCAACCCCCCGCAGCCTCGGGCGATGCTCGCAACGCTCGCATGGATCATGGTGGGTCCTGTCTTGGGAAGCCATCCCATGGCGCCCACCTGCCACGGCTTCGGGGGCATTGGGGCCAGCTGCTCCGCAGCCGGCCCGGGAGACTCCGGGAAGAGAAGGGGAAGCTCATTGGGCGACAAGACCTTGGCGGTCAAAGTGAGTGTACTCAGTTGTTCAGTGGCACCAATTCTTTTTCCCCCCTTCCTTTTTTTGGTGGTGCGCGAAAAATTGTCTTCCCAAAAAAGGGGTCCCTTTTTTTCCAGGGGCACTGAACAACTGAGTGTAGCTTGCAACCACTTTGCTGCCTTTTTCTGTCCTTCAAAAAGTGCGGTAGTTGTTTTTTTTGTTTGGTCGCATTCGGGGTGTTAAAGGGCAGGTTGCAAATTGAGGTACTGGGATGCTTTTCAAAGCCGTGCTGGCTGCAAAACATTAGAGTCGGAGTGGACGACAGCAACTCGGTGGCCAGCCTTGCGAAGGTGGGTGTCTATCTGTCGGATGGGACGTTGGTGGCCTCTTCCCAGGCCCGTGATGTGCCCACATCTCTGCCAGACCACCAATGGCTTGCCTTTGCGTTTCGAGGCCATGACAAAGAACTACGCACCACTTCTGAGCAAGACTACGTATGGCTTGTGGTCAACACAGAAAACAGCGTCAAGCTGACCTATGAAAACGCTGACTCAGGCGATGAGGCGACCAGAACTGTTTCCGAGCTCTTTGCAGGTGCGTTTGTGGCAGTGCGCATTTGGGACACAGAGCCTGGTCGGCGGCAATGGGCCGGCCACTTCCGCAACTTGAGGGTGCAGATGGATCTGGGGGACGTGTCAATCCTGCCTGGCACCTTGCCTTTGATACTGGAATCTCCGCATGGAGGGCGCATCACGGAGGGTTGGCCAACTCGAGTCACCGGAGTTTTGGACTCTGACCGCAACACGGATTTGTTCACAGAGGAGTTGTGGAGCGAGCTTGGTGCTCGCTGTGGTCGCACTCCGGTCGCTGTGATTTTCAGGGTAGCTCGCAAAGGTATTGATGCCAATCGGGCTACTGGCAGTGGCACGCACACCCGTGGTGGAGAACTTTGCGCGGACCAAAGCAACAGCCAATGTTGCTGTAACTCACATGCAAGTTAGCAAACACTTATGTATATATACACTTGTATTTATGATTGCATATATGTACAGATATCCATGTAGATACGTATAGATATATATATATATGTATATGTATCATTCATGTGGTGTTGCTCTTCAAGTAACGGAGTTTGTGTTTTGCCATGCAGCTTGATAAGTTAGGTGACTTAGCCAGTGCTAGCGACGAAGAGGTTGCCATGGACCTCAACGACGTCTATCACTCTTTGCTATCCTCAGAGGTGGCGGGGGCCAACGGCGCTTTGCTTGTGCCGATTCATGGCACAGGCAGAGACCGAGTGGAATTGGGAGTTCGACTCTCCGCGTCAGATCTGAACCAAGGAGCAGGCCTAGCGCCACCGTCGCTGGCTGATCACGACTCTGACTCTTCCCTGCGCGCCTTGGGAAACGCGACATATATGATTTGGGGCACGGAGAGTTTCGGGTCCCATCTGAAGAACAACAGGCCTTCCATGGAAGTGATCCCCTCTTCAAAGCTCCTTTGCCCAGATCCCAATCTGTGTTCAGCATCATCCTACACCAGCATCTTCAATGGAGGGTATAACTTGAAGATCCACATCACCAACACGCAGCCCGGAGTTCAGGTGGAGATGCCCCAAGTGATGCGAGGCTTTTGGTCGTCCCCTCCAGCGCCTGAGGCAGCTGCAGTCAAGCAGGTCGGTGCTGCGCTGGCTTCTTTCTTGAATTTGCACTACCAGGAATCCTGCCAGACACATGTGAACTTTGGCTTGGCTTGCGGTTCGCACGGCCAGGCAGTTTCTGGCACTTGCATGTGCGAAGACGGATATGAAGGTTCGAGTTGCGGTGATTGCGCGGAGGGCTATTTGCTGGTCACCGGCCAGTGCATGCGTCTTGTGGTGCTGGGCCCACCCCCTGGTGTGACAGAGAAGTATGGGTCAGCCTTTGCCACAACTAGCTCTGGCAGACCTTATCTTTACACCCGCAAGTTCAGCACAGACTTGACAGACTGTGGCACTGGCTGCCAGCCGCTGGATATGAGTGTCCGCATTCGTTGTGACGATAATCAATGTCACAGTGACTTAGACAGCTCCTCATATACACTTGGCGCCGCATTGTTTGATGCAGCAGGCCACAAGATGTGCAATGGAACAGCTGCCCGATCAGCCCAGGCAGCGACTGACTGGTGGCTTCAGATTCCCCTGGCCTCCTGCCCATTGCTGCAAAATGGCAACCAAGATCATGTTGCGGTCTATCTTGCATTGTGGACTTCGAAACTGATTAAGATTCGATGGGAGCAAGAGCCGGCCTTGTCAGCCAGATCCCGTGGGCTTCAATACAAGACGGCTGACTACTACCAGGATCCAAGTGCTCAATCGTTTGAGCATTTGATTGACGCAGTGCCCCCCGCACAGCTTCCTAGCTGGCGAGACCTTTCTTGTGAAAGCCCCAGTCATTGTGGGACTCAGGATTCTTGCGATTGCATTAGTGGCTGTACCTGCCGAAGTTGGAGCGGCAACTTCTATGGCATGATGGCAACTCTGAGCATGCAGCCAGCTTAGCATGAACCTGTATCCTCAGAGGAAATGCCAGTTACAAAGACTGGTTTCCTTTTCTATTTCCGCTGTCCCCCATACTTATCACATGTTGTTGGCCACACGGCGTTCACCTTCAGGATGCTAGGGGACCGCGGCTGCAGGCGCATTCTGCTGCTATTCTCGCGGTGGCAAGCGCGGCTTCACTCTCAGGTCTGCCCAGTTATTGCCATTGAGCCGACCCGGGATTGTCCTCTTTTTTTTGCCCTGGAACTACTGCAAGGAGGTACAGGCTTGTCCAATTCTTGTAAAGACCAACCTTTGCTTGCAGGCCCTGTGCGCGTTTGAAGCAGCTTGCTGAGCAGTTGCCGCTGGCTCCACGGGCGTGACAAGATTGAATTTCCGACACGCGCGAAGATGGCGTGTGTTTGCTCTCTTCACTTGTGCCTTCTCATGAGAAAACCAACCAGATGCTTGCAGTTGTATGAATTTAGGGGTTGATGTGTACATGCAATGTTCCAGTACGTGCTTTTTTTGGGTAGCTGTGTAATGTGTGTTCGGTCATGTCACGTAACGTCATGTCATGCTCTGTCATGTTCCGTGATGATCTATGACAGTGTATGTGTGTGTGAAGCTGTGATGCTACGCTGTGTATGTGGTATGACTCGATGTGATGCAATTTGGTGTGACTGACGGGGTGTGATGCGATCTCCTGTGACTCGATGTGTCAATGTGACACGATGTGTCACAATGCGACACGATGTGACGAATCATATTGTGACAGAGTGTTGCGTGAAAATCGGAACAGAGCAAAATGCTATGCAAGAGCATGACAAATGGTCTGTCATGGAATGTCCAATGGAACATGGAAGGCGGAAAGGAAGCTGGAACGGAATTGAGCCGCAAATGGAAAATGGAAGGGACAATTGGAATGACAGAGGAATAGATGAGATCTGTAATTGTAGCTCCTGTCCAAGGGCTTGGCCGCTCTGTTTCCAGTGGCCCCCGTTCAGTGGTGATTTCAGGGAACAACCCTATTTTCTGACTTTGATAACCCCCAGAAACCGTCAAAATAATGACCCCAGAAGATCCTTAGTAAGTTCAAGGCCAAACGGCACAGGCTTGCACCAATGGCCGTCAAGTTTGTTGAGACACCCAAGCCACGATGCCAAAGGATGTGCCTGCTTCTGTCTCGCATAGGCAGGGTGACCTGACGAGGAGAGAGAAATGCCAAGCAAAAGGTTGATGAGGATGGAAGAAAATGTTTATTGCCGTCAAGATTGGATGGGCTTTCCGAAGCTTTACCTCTCACGGCTTGGAAGGCCTCGGTCGCATGCAAGGTTTCCGCGCAAGAGGATTAAGTCAAGAGAGGTACGAGGGATGGAAGGTTTGCGCGCAAAATTGATGACTGTGATGGTTGTTCACGTCAAGAGCCCCTTCAACCAGCTGACTTTGTCCAACAAACAGCTCACCTTTGGTGCGACTAGCGAAGCACGCAAAAGAAATAATATACAGTGTTGTTAACCGGGTGTGTGGGGATGAGTTGTTTTTTACCGTTGATGTGTCAGATTGCGATCTTTGAAGGTCTGCTATCTTTGAAGGTCTGCTATCTTTGAAGGTCTGCTGGAATGGCACAGGCTTCTGTTTTAAGAGCGGGGCTACGCTTGTTGTGAAAGGGCCACTGTGAAAGCGTGGACATTACGAGGTTTGGAGCCTTCAAAGAGCCATCGCAGCAAGATAGGTCCGGAGCCTCCCATGCCTAATGGGTCATACAATCGTGTTTCAGTGCCCCTGATATTTTTCCCGTTCATGGAACGGGAAGCTGCTGCAGAATGGCCCTGGGTTTCTTGATCACCGCGTTTGTTTTTGTAGGCTGCAATGAATTATTCCGGTTCAGGTGTGAATCATTAGCCTACTGAAACCCTCCTTGTCATACTGCTGTTGGTTGCTTTTGGTTTGTTTGTTGGCGACTTCGAATGGGCCTGGAGATCATGCCGTGTTGAGCTCGAGCAACCTTGGGCTCGAGCAACGGCGGCGGCTCTCAGCTTGTGACTTCCTGCCGCTGAAAAGATGGCATCGATTGTGAAGACTGGAGATGGTCCTGATGACTTCTACTCCTTGGACTGGGTGGAAATCAGAGCTTCCCCCCGTTCAACCACGGGGGACTGGATAATGTTGGAGTAATGTTGGAGTGTAAGAAGCCCATAAAGGAAGGGGCTTGTGTTCTGATCTGATGAGGGGAACTGCTTGTTACCTATCTTGCAAAGAGCATTGAAATGGTCTAGGTGCGGTACAATGGCGCCAGGACTTTCCGTGTGAACTCAACAACACGGACTACCTGAGGCCGACCGCCAGCACGCAATGATTGCTTTGGGCCTCCCTCCGCTATTTGTCAAGTCTTCCCAAGGGGCGCTTGGGTGACACACACACACACATGAAGCCACACACCTTGCAAATTTTGCGAGAAGGTGCTGGCCGGCTTTACAATGTGTCCCAGTGTCTCCAAGTCGTTGTCACGCGTCAGAATGGCAGCCGTCCTCAGCTCTGCCAGGCGCATCTTGGCCCACGTCACCTCGGCCATGCGCCCGGCCTATGAAGCTGCGATTGAGACGGGGCTGCCCCGGGAGAAGGACGGCCTCGGCTACGAAATGGCCCCAGAGCACGTCGATGCCTACTTCGCTTTGAAGCACGCCAGCGCAAACATGGGCTATTACTCGCAAGCCCTGAGTCAACCAAAAGAGTTCCTGCTGGACGCCCTGCAGTTCGCCAATGCGGCCAGGAACACGCTCGCGCACGAAAAACGTGGTGGAGTGGATCGCAACTTGACATGTGAGATGAGCAGATTTTGCTTATCGGATGATCGGATGATAAGATTAATGAGTGGGGTGCTGCAAGCTCACCGATCAATCAGGTCAGCCGAGCAACAACTAAGTGCCCCATGTCTTAACCTCCAGTTGCCGCCCAACGCATTTCAGAGCTCCAAACTCTCTCGAATTAGGAGAGTTCCTCAAAGACTCCTTCGGCATGGCAGGGCGCATTGCTGCAGCTACACAGGTGCACTTTGCACAGGACCGGCATTGGGCTGTGGCTAGGACCCTTTTCCTTGGCAGCTCAGGAACCGGTGTTAAATGTCACATGTTCTGGAGTATTGGTAGTTGACACAACACAGCTCGGTGTTTGCCCTACTAGGTAGTCACTAGGAGGAATAGCTTGGCTTGGCTTGGCTGAGCGAGAAAGCGATACATATGAGTTGAGAAGGGCTGTACATGTGTTGAGGTAGAAAAGCTTGGCCAACACTCAGCCAAAGTCATGGTGAGTTGCCCGCTTCCTTTTCAGGATAACTTGGCTTGCCTGGAGAAGATGTATGAGGAGCACCGCAGGTCCAAGGACAGCGCGCGTTGCCAAAGCCATTTATGCTACATAATTTGCAAACCGTCTCCTCAATCCAATCAAGAGTTGCATGGCACACGAACGCTCAGAATCACTCAATGAAAGGGACCTGCTTAAAGCTTGGCTTGGGGAATATCGAATATTGGAGTGTCAGTGTGCCTATGCTGGCATGTAACCAGAAGGAGGTTCAATCCCCCACGTGGCAGTTTTGTGCAAGGCTATTGTCAAAACTCTGACAATCACTGCTGGGCTTATCCTGAAAACAGGATGAATTACGTGGATCAGTTTTTTCCAAGCACCTTGAGTTGAGAACAGGTCATCAGTTTGAGTCTGTGGTACTGTTCCATTATTTTCCCATGCCTCGGTTTTCCTTCACCATGCCTCCTAAAAAGGACGCGCGCCAGAAGGCCCGTGAGCCCATGCCCGCGCCCCACGAGCGGGCGCGAGGCCGGCCGGAAGGCCTGAACAGTCCAAGCACAGAGCGCAAGCGCAGCTCGGTTCTGAGGCGGACCATTAGACTTTTGGAGGAAAAAAGACAGTCGACAGATAAGAGAAATTGGAAAAGCAAGGTTACATGGGTAGAGGTAACGTTGGACCTTGGCAAGAGGGGTTTAAGCACGCTAAAGTTTTTGACTAGCGGGAGCAACACGCCATTTAGGTAGCAAAGAGCGCAGTGAGCGCGGCGCGGATGGAGGGCCGGAGGCGGAGTCCAAGCGGGTCTTGGCGATGCCGAACTACGCGACGCAGGCGCTGAGGGTTGGGGGTCTGAACGCCGAAGGTTTGCGCGTGATAAGGTGAGGACTGTAGTTAAAACAAAGGTGTCGGTCTGATCAGGTCCAAAAGCTGCAAGAGCTTTTGGCCTGGTACAAGGCAAAGGACAAGGTGCAGACGTGCTCCAACCTGCAGTTGCTGATTGAATGCCTCAAGGATCATGCAGATGCTCTCTATGACCTGTCAGCATCAGTATCGGAGACGCGCGCCCGCTACGACGACGCATTTGCCAAGGACCAGTTCAAGCTGGCTGCGCAGCTGCCACCTTAGTTGCCAAAGTTTGACAGGCCGGAAGCCCATGTCATGTTCACTATCTTGAGGCATGCCTCTGCTAGGCCCTCCCTGAGGGTTGCAGCCTAGAGAATGTTTCATGCTCATGCGGCCAACATGCAACTCGCATAAGAGTTGCATGCCCCGTATAACCCTAAGCGGGAGTGTGTGAATTTGGTGCTGTCGGGCCCGCTTGCAGCCCACCCCTCAGCTCTTCCCCCAATCGGGGGGGGGTCTTAATCATAAAGATTCATAAACGTAGTCAGCAGTACTTTTGGCAGTTCCCACCCACTCACTCACCACTTTTTCACCCGCCCTGCGGCCTTTGTGCTCGAAAAGTCAATTGACACTGATATTGCAAGTGGCATTGCGAGCACCGATCCCCCAATTTGGTGTAACTTGAGCTCGAAACTGAAGCAAACCTGTGCGTGAAGCTGGCTGACTGCCGAGGCTTGATGACAAGTGCAAACAGGATGACGGCGCGCTGCAGGCACTTCAAGGCTATGCAGAGCGGGGCTATCGACATCTTCGGACAGGGCTGGCAGCCATCGGCTTGGTTGTGTTCCATTCCACGTGAGGCATAACTTAACCATAATTGATTCATTGCAAGTTGAAAACTTTGCAGTTGAACAAGCGATTGACAGCGCGCATCGAAATCCCATAGCCCTAGCGGTAAGGCAAAGCAGGTTCCTGGGCAGAGGTGCATTCATGTGGGAGTCCATGCAATTGGCCGCGACAGGGAAAAGTAGAGTGTTGGCTTGTGCAAAGTGGATTCCCTGCGTTGCTACCCCGAAATGCTTGCGCTTGCGAGGAGGTCTGAGCAGAAGGGTGTCGAGGCTGCTTTGCGCACGCTGCTCCCGGAGCTTTTGGACGATGGCTGGACTGCAGAGGATTTGGGGCCTGCAGGCTTCACGGTGGACCTTGTGCAGTGGCGGCCCGGAGCGCCTGGCACACGTCAGGTGTGGGCGGTTTGGGAGAAATCCGCGGGGCTGTTGGTGGCAAATTCGAGTGGGAAAGGGGTGTGGACAAAGAAAACCTGGGCAGGCACCTGCCAACTACTACCCAAAGCTCAAGGCCGCCGGGTTTTCCGCGAAGGCGCTTGCAGAGGCAGGCCTGGGCCAGACTGCTATCACCACGACAGGCTTCTCTGTCCAAGAGCTGCTGGCGGAAGGCTGTGCCACCTGCCGCGTTGCTGGAGTTGCAGCTGGCCAGCTGAAGCAGGCAGGTGTGACAGCCGGGGAGCTGAAAGATGGGGGGTACCAACCTCTCGACTTGTTGGAGGCAGGTTTTTCAGCCCAGGAGCTGAAGGCCATAGGGCTGTCTGCCCCCATGTGCCGCAGTGCCCGAGCTGCTGTGCCAGTGCGGGCTGGCCAGCTCAGGCAAGCCGGCTTCTCAGCGAGGGAGCTGGAAGACGCGGGGTATGTGCTGCATGAGCTGTGGAAGGTGGGCTATTCTGTGGAGGAGCTGAAGGCCGAGGGCTTCACCGCCCCCGAGTTCCGCACTGCCGGAGTTCAGGCGCAGCAGCTGATGCAGGCGGGATTTTCGGCCATGGAGCTGAAGGCAGCTGGGTATCGGCCTCTGGACCTGCTGAAAGCTGGCTTCTTGGCTCAGGAGCTCTTGGCCGAGTTCTCAGCCCAGGAGCTTCGCGCTGCTGGGCTTCAAGCCGCTCAGCTGGCGCAGGCCGGCTTCTCAGCGGCAGAGCTGAGAGAGGCCGGCTACCGACCCCGGGACCTGCAGGCGGCGGGCTACTCCGCCCAGCTGAAAACCGCAGGCTTCTCAGCCCAGGAATGTCGCGCTGCGAAGCTCCAAGCGAGCTACCTGAGACAAGCTGGTTTTGCAGCCAGGGAGCTGAAACTGGCTGGGTACCAGCCCCATGAATTGCGGCAGGCCGGCTATACGCCACATTGCTGATTCGTGGGGATGTGTGCAGCATACGGAGGGCAGAGCGCGTGGCTGGCAAATTCTCTCCTTGCCAAGCAAGCTGCAGAAGCCAGTGCTCAAGGTTTGCTGCTTGCCACTTGAAATGGGGCAGCCTTGAGAAGCCCGGCCAGAGGAGTCACCAGAACTCATGAGCTCGGGACATTTGGAAATGCAGAAAATTGCCGAAGGCAAAGGTGGAAAAAGAAGGCCCTATCTAAGAAGCAGGGCCAACGTGCTGGAGGCAAGCAAATGTCGAAGGTCAGCTGCTGCAATTCTTCGGCTTGTCCTACTCATGCTCAAAGGCACCGCTGTCATGTGGCAAGACCACCAAATGAAAACCATGTCAGATCTCGATTCTAGCACTGCACGGGACATTGTGCCGAGTAACAAATTCTACCAAGACGTCCGTTTGTTGACGGATTTGGCTAGGATCTGTTTGTGGATGGCTTGCCCATCCAATTGCAGCTGAATCAGTTCCCCCAAGCCTGGGCGGAATACAACTGGGCAGTTCTGTGTTGTAAATCAGCACGCCCTTTGCCTAAAGTCGAATGTCATCTCTGTGTTCTCGCCGCTTGAAGCATGCTGCAAGATTGCTATTTGTTGCGATCAAGATGGCGTGTCTTGAGCTGTATTCAACAAGCACCAAAGCCAAAAAACATGAGACTGATAAATGTGTCAAGTTCCTGTTGCATGGTGTTTAACATAGTCGCGAGCACACTAATTACAAATATGGAGGCCTCGGAAGGAACGTAGCTTTAAGACGTGAGCCAGATGCATGGTTTGTCCGTGTGATTTTAAGCTTTTGAGTTCCGAAAAAAATATTCCCGGGCAAGGGGGTTCAATAGTTATTCTGATGAATTTTCGCTTGATGCTTTAGAGCCTCCGGCTCAGTCCGCCAACATTGTCCTCTCCTTTTTCTCCTTCTTCCTCTCTCCCTTGTCTCCCTGGTGTGTTCTGGCGTCCTCTCTCCCCCCCTTTGTTCCCTATCCTGCCCATCCCCCTAAGCCTCTCTCTCCTCAATCTCTCTCTCTCTCTCTCTCTTGCTCTTTTTGTTTCTTTATCTCTTTCTGTCTCCACGCCTCTCTACAGAAAAAGGGTACCCTAACTCGAACTTCTCTACTCTCTCACTCTCTCTCTCTCTTTCTCTCTCTCTCTCTCTCTCTCTGCATTGTAGCGTCACGTCCCCCCTGAGTTGCCTCGATGTCCAGGCATTGCCCCTTTATGACCCTGAATTGTCATTTCATTATTGGCTTGCTTTTGATTTCCCCTTTATATCCTTTTTACGTTTCCCATGATGTCTTGGTTATGTCCTTTCTATGCTTTTTAATTCCTCTTTCAGGTCCCTGACATTTTCTCGATACGTTCTTTTGTTGCGAGTTATTTCCCTACATCTTCCGTCGTGCTGATTGATATCTTTGTGCTTTATTCGTTTCTCTCTTATTCTCCCTGCACTCCCCTTGTTTTCCTTTCTGTGCTTTGTATGTTCTTTTCGGTTCCCTTTCGGTTCTTTTTTGTTTCGCTTTTATTCCCCGCTGCTTCTTTGTTATGTCAACTTCTTATTTTCTCCCCTTATTTCCTTGTACTTCCTTGCATTTCCCCTTTGCCCCCTAATAACGTTGTTTTTCTAGCGTTTTCGCAACTAGGACGTCTAAAAACATAGAATTTTCTAGATTTTCGGCAAAAGGGGGTAGGAATCTTAAACTAGCAAAGAGCCGGTAGGGGGAATCGAGCCGGGGAGTCTTGTTCTCCCCGAAGGTTACGTTTAGTGGAACATTATTAAATTGCCGCGCCTTCCAAGGGGGAGCATCCTCGCTTAGGTATCCGATACGCCGAATAATGTCGGCGGATTTGAGATCTTATAGGGGAAATTAATTCCATCTTTAAATGTTAGAGGCGATTTAGGTATTATTTTATATACCGTAAAATATTAGATATATGATAGTCGATATTTGATATATATATATATATATATGGGTTAGAATTGAAGTACCATTATTATTATGTTTAATAATATTAAATAATATATAATGATATATTAGATATTTTTCGGGATATATTACGCAAAGATATAATGTTAGATTGATTTGGAATTATATATGAATAAATAATTGTACAAATTGGGATTGGTTGAAATTTAATATATTTTAGGATTGATTTAAATTAATGATATTTCAATAATTAGGAAATGGAATTGGTTTTTAAAGTCCGATTTGTAAGAAAGTTTTTTAATTTAGGGTATTTTGGTTTTTCGAATGATAAGAATATATTGTTATTTGATAATATATAAAAATATTGATTTAACTAAATAAAATGAAATTTAGATGAATTTAATATTGGGAAAATATTGTGTTAAACATAATAATTGTTGTTATTTATATTGATTGTATTTTTAATTAAAAAATTAGTTTTATATAAATATAAATTAATATTTATTATAATTTAGTATGAAATTAATATATATAATAGAATATATAAATACATATAATAATTTGTTGTTTTTTGGATTTTAGGGTTGTATTAGGATTTTATTAAGATTTTTCGAGGGTTGATAGATATATAGTTATTAAAATAATGTTATTGTTGATTGGTTATATAATTTAACATTAATATTATTCTTTAAAGAAAATTAGAAGTTATTTTTATGTTATGGCAAATAATTGAAAAATAGTTCTTTGAAATAGATGATAAAAGAAGGAATGAATATATATGGTAAAAGAATAGAAATATGCAAAAACAATGGTTTGGGCATGAATTGTATGTCTCCGGAAAGTTAGCTTGTTCGCGGCGCCTGCTCGGATTTGTCTCGGATTACGTTTGGGAGCGTGGGCTATTGGTTTCGTAGATGTTGAAAAATTAGATATAGATTTCGTGGTATGAACCGTATTTTCGTAAAGGCAATGGTAGGCATCGTATTTTCGTAAAATTAAGTTTTCCTAAGTATCCAATTGTATGGCGGTCAAATATAGATTTTGTGGTAAGTATGGCCTTTTTAACATTTTCGTAAAGTCAAATATAGATTGCAAGTGTAAGGTATAGATAGATAGATAGATAGATTAATAAAAATAGTGTGAAAAAATAGATAAGTAGATGGATGGATGGATACATAGAAAAAAGATAATATAGAGAGAGATAGATCGATAGAAAGGAAGATGGAAAGAGAAATTGATAGATAAAAAGATAAATACATAGATAAAAAGAAATAAATAGAAAGAGAGATAAATAGATCGATAATTAAATAGATAATGGATATATAGATAGATGGATAAAATGAGAGATAGATACATAAAAAGAGAGATATTTAGATAGGTAGACGGGTAGACAGATTGATGGATAAATAAAAAGAGAAATAGATAAATTAATAATAAATAGAGATAAATAGAAAGAAATATAAAAACGAAAGATAGATAGATAAAAAGAAATAGATAGATAGATAAAATAAAATAAAATAAATAATTAGATAGGAAAATAAGTAAAGAAACAAATACATAGGCAGGCAGGCAGGTAGGCAGATAGATATATGGAAAGAGAGATAGATAAATAAATAGATAGAGATAGATATAGAAAATTAGATAAATAGATATATGAATGGGTAGGAAAATAAAGAACCGATTAAAGGAAGAGCACTACAAAATACATACAAGAAGGAAAGAAGGAAAGCAGGACGGGAAGAAAGAAAGAAAAAAGGAAAAATATCATAAATAAGTTGGTATAATTTCGATATTTCTATTTATTGGATTCATCGAATTTATTACTCCATCAAAGAATAATTTAAATATATGATTTTAAAAATGAAGAAATAACATGTCTATCTCATATAATTGAATATAGAATTCAAGAATAATATAATATAAATATTCTATTTTATTAAAGGTAATATTATTTTATAAAAGATTTTAAATAATTCATTCATATAATTTTATTTATTAAGAATTATTCTTCGATTATTTAATTTAAATATATAAAAACCAATAATCAATATTATTCCTAATGCCTAAAACAAAATATCTCCATGAAATTGTTTTTCGTAAGCATGTACAAAATACATTTACCGATTAGACATACAATATTCCTCTATCAATTCTTAACCAAAAACAACCCAAATATCTTTAATCTCCTTTCCTAAAAAACCATTATCCTCAAATGCCGACGCATTCCAATTAAATCCGATTACAAATTCAATTAACAATATATCGTAAAAAATCGAAATCGAGAAATATAAATTAAATACAATTTTTAATATAATAATATTATATGGGTATGGGTCAACATTCTGGTGTGGAACGTTCCGCAGTAATGCGGACGTCTGGAACGAATCACGCAAGGTCGTTTGTTCCGGACCTCTGGGAGGATATACGTAGAGTCCTCAAGCACACGTTCATTTAGTATGAAATGGACAGATGGATGGATGAATGGATGGGTAGGGGCGCGCCGCCATCGTTGCCATCCTCGCGTCATTAGGACACCGATGCGTTGAAATCACGCCCGCCACGCGCGCCAGCCGATGCACAAGGCTAGGAGGCGTAAGCCGATGTCTTCCGATGTCCACCGATATATAAGCCGATACAGGTATCCTTCAAAGATTTCTTTATCTCCAAAGCCCTAACACATGTCGTCCTTAAAGGCTTCTTGGGTGGCAGGCCACATGAAAAACGCAATTATTTCTTATATGGTGTATATATGTATATGTGGATTTGGTAGCAAATTGCTCCGCTACGTCTGGAATACATCTAGAACGGGTCTAAAACGGGATCTAAAACGATTATGCGAGCGGTCTACACTTTAGAATGCTAATAAACCACATGTAAATATAATCGTTTCAACCGAGATCAATATCAAACCATTACCATATCGTATCAAAAGCGATAAAATTGTATCGCATCGAACCAAACTAAAATTCCAAAATACCAATAATCCTTTCTTTATTTCTTTCTCCTTCTTTCTTACTCCTTTACTCCTTCTTTCTTATTCCATACCATTTCAACCTTAACCATTATATTTATATACCCGACAAACAAACAAGATGGAAATCTAAAACCAACATCTATATCACAACCATATAAAAAAATCGGAGCAAAATAATTATAATCCAAATATATATATATTATCATAATCTAAATTCTAATTATAATTTGTTTTATCAAAATAGAATTTTATATCCAATTTCATAATATCATCGGCATATTTATCCAATTCTTCTAAAATAAATTTAAAATCATTATCAATAAATTTATATTATTTTCAAAAAAAAAAATACCAATATAAATAATATATAACCAAAATAAACATATATATCCCCAAATTTATCATTTAATTCAAACACCAAATCCAAATTTACAATTTAATCTAAAATTCATATAAACAAATATAATTCATTCAAATTCTTAAATATAATAAGTTTCATATTTATTTTCCTATGCCTGCCACGAAGATTGCTTAACCTTAGACATATTCTTATCACAGAATTTGCATATCACTTGGCTCGACCAGTTGCGATCCAATTAAATGTCCTTTCATGATGTTAAATACTTGAGGAGCGGGTGAACAAAAGCTAGCAGTTGTTGTATAAGATGGGTCGGTGACAGAGTGGATTCATAGGTAGCTTGTGTACAACGAGAGGCCCGGCAAGATTCGTAGGATGCGACACGCAAACGCACATGGTGGCGTGGCAAACCTTGAAAAATGAAAACAACGAGAGGCGTCAGAAGCTGTCTTAAAGCACCTCTGGGTTCTGCATGCTGCGTGTGCAAAGATTCTTGCGAGGTGGTTTACTGAGAAGACTGAGGTCTCAAATGAACAAACTAAATCGGTGGAACATGTAAAAGTTCGTAGCACCAAGTCCAAAACGGGCAAACCGAGACTGCTGAAACACTGAGCCACTGCCCGGGGGGGAGGGGTGGACCAAGGAGGAATCGAGCCTGAGACGGGGGGGGGTCTAAATAATTGACTTTTTTCAATCTTTTCGGCTCAAATAATTGAAAAAATCAATCTTTCGGCAGTTGAGCCCCTTACCTTGCTTACGCAAGGAGAAACTTCAGCTAGCTAAAGCTAGCTTTCGTGATATTTTTAAGAGGAATCCGGATATTGCAATTTAGTTCTCAAGATAGTTAGCATTTCCAGGACGGCCTCCTGCTGTGACACACTGCATTCGCGTTAGAGGTTTCGGCTCCCTAGGATTAAAATCTGGACATCTCCGCATCAACCAAGTTCCCATGCAAGTCAAGGAACGTGTCTTGTTCTAAAAAAGACAAGAGTCTAAGAGAGTGGCCCTAAATCGGTCCTCTGAGGCGATGCGCGCACCTTGCTCCAAGGCAATCTCTGCGCCTCAGCCACGGAATGTGAGGTCAGGGGGCGATGGTGTGGAAGACCAGCAGGCCATCCATTCGGACGTCCAATCGAACGCCTGACCCGAACAAGTGCCAACAAATCTATCAAGAACTCCCTTACCATCACTAGCCAGAACAGCCTGCAGGCCACTTTTTGGATGCCCAGGAGAAGCCAAGGAGCCCCTGAAGCATTTTTTTGGTAGCCAAGGTCCTCGCGCAGCTCACAGCCCAGCTCACCACAGATCTGCAGCAACCCCTGGGCCCATCAGCAATGGCCATTCATTTGTGTCAAAGGGGGTGCTCACAACAGGGGGTCTCCAATTTTGGGCCATTTGAGGATGCGTCGTTCAATGCGGGCTGTGGGAAATGGACCTTTAGTGTAGACTTGCAACGAGGATTTATATGTGTATATATATGTGTGTGTGTGTATACATAAATATGTCTACATATATATATATATATACATAATATGTGTGTTTTACCCCCCCCCCCCGCTCTCTCTCTCTCTCTCTCGCTCTCTCGCTCTCTCTCTGTCTCTCTCTCTCTCTCTCTCTCTCTCTCTCTCTCCTCTCCACCAATCATGTTTGGAGGGTGGAGAAAACATATTTGGAGGGTGGTTGAGATTCACGAAACTCTTGCGCCCTCATCGTCTGCAACATCTCAGAACAGCCAACAAGCTTGCCAAAACCCTTACATGCCATGGCATGTGGGAAGGAACCAGAACGTTACAAAGGAACTCGCCGGGATTCTCGATACCCCAAAGTAAGGCCAAAAAAGCCAAAGCAAGGCCAGGCCTTGGGCATGGCTTTGAGCGGAAAAATGGGGGCGATATCCAGCTGCCGACGCACTCGCAAAGGAATACTACCAGCAGGACAGGCCCTAACGTCAGTGATTAAATTATCATAAAAGTATGCTTCAAGGCTTTTCTTGTCTGCCTGCGTGAACAAACCTTTTGTGCCCCTCAGCTGTGCTTTTGCGGGGCACATTGGGCCAGGTACCCTTTTGCCGATGGTTCCCGTAAACACGAACACAATAAGCGAGTAGAATGAAGTGTTAGTGCAGGTGCTGTCCCTGCAAGTTGCCGCGTGCGTGGCGCCGCGAAAGCTTAAAGCTTCGTGAAAGGTATGCGAGCAAACATGTTCGCGAAAGGGGCCGCGAAAGTGGTTTGCTTACTTAAAACCACTGTTTCACCTCACCATTCCGCAGTAGAGCACCAGGCTTGGAGAAAATGGCTTTGCCCAATGCAAGCGACAGTAGATCTTCATCCCATCATTTCGTGGCCTGACAGTCCCGCCCCGCTAAAAAGTCTCGTTTTAGGTGGATCTGCCGATGCAGCGCAACCGACTCCTTCAGATGGGCAGATTCTGGCCGTGCCTCTTCCGTCTGCTGGCGCGCTGCAACCTGCAGGTACCAAAGCAGAAGGCAAGCTGCGAAGCGCAAATGTTGCGATCGCCGACCATCCCTATCAACCGCCAAAAACCAACCAGCTGCCATGAGATGCTTCGATCCGGGGTGAAGCAAGCGCTCCCCCCCCCCCATGGTCCGCCTCCTCCGCCGCAGCCTTCCGCAGCTTGCGCAGCTCCAAGCTGGCACGCCGAGCAGAGAAGCTACCCTCCCACCAGCTAACATGGAAGTGCACAGACCCCTGTAGAAAGAATTCCAGGTTAGTTGATAGGAGGGTAGGGCATGGGGCGTGTCACAAAAAGTTGCCAGCTGAAGCCCTGCGATGCGACCTACCGAGGTAACCCCGGCCAAGCAACTCCGAGCACTACATGAAAGAGAACCAGTGGTAGGAAGAAGGGCAAGGGATGTCGAAGGCTAAGGATGGGTGCACTCAGCCAACACGCCTCCACGCACCTTTGACAACAGCGCAATCTCTTTGCTCCGGTCTTTCTCAGCACTTGCAGGCGGAATGCGCGCCAGAAGCTGCTGACGAAACTGAGACACTATTTGCCCCACGCTAACAATCCAGAACCATTCGGCTGCTTGGTGCGCAGCACGCGGAGCGGCACTCCTGGACACTTGATGTGCCAGAAAACCCTTTCGCAGTTCGGCAATACTTTTCCGCAGTCATTCATATCAAACTTAAAGTCCCTGCGTGCTGCATCTGGGGCTCTAGGGCTCGAACAGTTGATTAAGCCATTTTCGTTGCACAAATCAACGCTGCTTGATTTATTGGCAGCGCTTCCTGGCTGCAGTCCTTCAAAGTCCTCCTCCCTGAACTGCTTCTTCGCCTCGGGCCTGATGCGTTGGCTCCAGCTTTGCTAACACGTGGAAAGCTGGGTCTGGTCCCAACATTGGGGCCCGGGCTTCTCCGGTTCGGGGTCGGCCCTTGGCACTGCCCCGCCCTTGCTCGTGCCAGAGTTGGACTTCGAGCTTGGGTCCTGATGCGAGAAGCAGGAGCCAAAACTTGACCCCGACAGCCCCTCTCAAGCCACTCTTTTCTGCGGGGCTGCAACTTGCATCTTCAAGTTCATGAGAGCAAGCTCCTGGCTGAGGTTAGGGGCCGGAGCATCCTTGAGGTCGACCTTGCGCGGTGCTGAAAGCGGCGCACTAATTACAGATCTTAGGCCGTGGTCCGGCATCTGAAAATCGCCAAGCTCCTCAAAACCCAGGCGCTGAGATAAGTCTACAGCGGGCAAAACTTGCAGGGTTGGAAGCAGCTCAAGGATTTGGATTTGCAAACCAGGCCACCGAAGAATGCAAGCGGCCATCCTCTTCGGGCCTGCGTTCTTCTGGCCTGGCACGTGGCTTAAACCAAGACACAGCATACAGGGAGCCCGCCTCTCAGGTCCACCCCTTGCCGCGCGTCTCCTGTACTGCCGGAACCCATCAAGAGGCAGCATTTGCGACATGTGCGGCGGGCCTGAGGTTCTCGGCTTGTCGTGCTTCCCGCTCCTCTCTCTTGATCCTCTGCTGCTTCTCTGACCACGTCTCCGCGCCCGGCTTTGCCGCCGGCTTGGCCGGCTTGGCTGGTGGGCCCTGCGCAGGCACCGTCGCCTGCCTTGGGGGCTGCGTGGGCTGCGCGGGCTGCACGGGCTGCGATGGACGGGCAAAAGGCAGACTCGATGGAGGCGCAGCTGGCCTGGGAGGCACGGCTGCCGCAGGCGTCACTGGCACTGGAGGCGGCATGGCAGGCCTTGATGGCCAAGCCTCCGCCTGGCTCGGCCGGGCAGGTCTCTCCCTCTCCGGCTCCGGGCTGGGCAGGTCCGGATAGGACGGGTAGGCACCCACCGGCGCATAAGGGTCAATCAGGGGCGCTCGGCCCACAGGGCCCTCAGGCCGTGGAGCCCTCTCTCGGCGCTGCGCGCCTTCTCCCCGCCACTCCTGCATCTGCTCCTCGCTGATCTTGCGGTGATGCTCCTCCAGCACCTGCGCACAGAAACCGTACTGGGCGTCTGGAGAAAAAATCGCAGCCCCTGCCTGCTGGGGATTCCACGCTGGCCATGAAAATTCCTTAGCGGTGACGTGTTCTGCACATGGAAAATGTATCCTGCAAGTGGGGCAAAACATGCAATTGGTAATTATTGCCTTCACTCGAGCTGCGCCCAGCTGCTCACCCCACCTTTAAAAACCACTCCAAAAGGGACACCCTCAAAAAGGACACATTCAAAGCCAAGGCAAACCCAACACCTTGCAACGAGTCGCTTCCCCCTGCCGCAAGCTCTGCACCTCGCAGCGCCGCTTTCGGCAAGCCACTTCCAGCGCCGTCAGCACGCTGCCCCGGCACTCCAGCACCACCTGGCGAAGAGGCCCCGCGCTGCTCAGTAGCAAGGGGAACACATGGCTGTGGCTGAAAATTAAACAGGAGGGGTTACGCAGGTTGTGGTCCATATTTCCACTTACTAGGGCTCCATTTTGGTACAGCCACATGTCTACAGTATTGCTGCGGCACATGCTGCAACCACATTGGCAACCCTATGTGGGTCAGCCACACGCACTAGTGTGACAAACAAATCCATCATTTGCTCAGACAAAGTTCTCTGTTTGAATTACCACTTGAACCAGAGCCTCTGATTCGGTGATAATAAATAATATGCTCTCGGCATCAAGATCACCGTTGGCTGCTTTGACCAAATGAGGACCCTTTTGCCCAAACACTACGATAACCTGGCTTGGCCAGACCCCCTGTTTGGGGCTTTAGAGGATTATAATATGAGATTATTAAACCAACCCAAACCAACATCCATGAGAGGACCAAACCAACATCGCAACGAAGAGGTTTTCCAGCTCCAGAATCTGCAGGCTGAGGGGCCGGTTGCGTCAGTGGCAGCTCCTGGTGACAGCTCAGCGTCCTCCCATCCACGCGGAACTTGATCCTGGAGCTCAAATGGCGAAAGCTCAATGCTCGGCCCTCGGCCCCTCGGCCCTCCTCGAGGCGTGGAGCACACCCCACCTGAGATGAACATCGCTACATCAGGGCCGCACACAGGTGGCATGGGGTTGATCTATTTTCCTAGCCCCATAATGAACGGTGACTTCTCCTATTTAGAGGTGAAAGCCATCTTTTGTGGTGGTTTCCTTGATGGTCGACCCATGCAAGGGGCCCTTTGATCAACCCACATGTAAGGCAGCTCAGGTGGCAGCCGGGCTGCTCTTGTTCCCAGATTGACACCACTTCAGCAGGTGTCATCTGCGGATGTGGCAGGGCCATTGTCAGCACCTGCACCCGGCTGGGGCAAAGCAGCCACGCGCTCATTTGCAACTGGCCAACTAAGGCAGTATGTTCTCAACTTTTCGCCCGCTCAGAACGGCTCACGGCCCTTGTAAGGCCTGTGGCACCACCGCCCGTTCATCATGACGTGCAGGCAACCGACGTTAACTCTACTGCAGAGTCCGCCATGGCATGCCAAAAGGCAAAAACAACAACGGATGCTGGACACTGCTTATTCGGATCATTACTTGGCTGCACGTGACCAGCTCATGTCATGGTGGCTGCGTGCATTAGCCGTACCGCCATATCAGCGGCGCTCACTCACGAATTGGCTCAAGAGTGGAGTTGGCAATCAAATGCACATAAATACTTGCTTTCAACCCAGCAAATTCTAGACAATGAACACTCCTTGTCTGTTTTGACTGTGACACATGACCAGAACACAACCGATGAAGCACCATCTCAACATGACAACATGGACTAAACTAAACCAGCCCCAAACTATCTCGCCCCTCCTGCCAGACTCCGGCTACAATGGCTACAGCGGGTCCATCTTGCTGCCGTAGCCGCAAACCTTTGGGCCCGCCACGTCGCTGAGGGCATAGCCTTTGAGCCATTGCTCGGATGCATTCCGCTGGCGGCTCCGGGGGTCGGGCCTCAATCAATGCGCTTCGCATCATCCGAGGACTTGGATCAAGTGTCTGGATTGTTGATAGAGGTTTGGTATGTTTTGGCAGCATGTTTGAAACTTCTGAGAAAGAGTAACCGACCCAAAACTGCTGACTCAAGTCCCAAACAAGGCGGAGCTGGGCCATTTGTTCGACATGGGACTGCCACTGCCAGCTCCCTGTAGCTCCCTCACTCCGCAGGCTATGTCCTGGGCTCCGCACACCTTGAAGCCGTAGTCGAAGAGCGTCACCCCCTGCCAAACGTTGCAATTCGCCGGGCTGTAGAGCAAGGAGTCCCAGGGGGCCTCTCGCCTGGCCAACGGAGTGGCG